TGGGCGTGGCGGAAGATGGGGAGGCTGAAGGGCGAGAAAATTCAGCCGCGACGCGATCGACGCAGTCGGGTGGAGGGAGAAGCTGTGTATGGTGAACGTGAAAGGAGATACGGCGAAGGAAGGCACGATCTACGACGTGGAGACCGATTGCTGGGGGAATATGCCGGAGGGGATGCTGGCGGGGTGGAGAGGTCCGGCGGCGGCGATGGAGGAGGAGACGATCTACGTGGTGGATGAGTCGAGAGGATCGCTCAAAAGGTACGATCACGTGATCGACGAATGGGTGGAGGTGGTGGAGGATAGTATGCTCAAAGGCGCGCTGCAATTGGCCGCGGCGGGTGGGAGGGTTTGCGTTTTGTGCTGCGATGGGGTTAGGATCGCCGTGGTTGATGTGGCGGCGCCGCCGCCGATTAGAATGTGGGTGGTGGATGCTCCGCCTGGGTTCCAAGTCATGGGGATTCATATCTTACCTAGATTGAGTCATTCCGATTAATTTTATTTTTTTACTATAAATTCTATATAAATATTTTGTATATCACTAGTAAATTAAAATGAAAAATGTATTTAACTGTACTTTGGCAATTCATAAATTAATTTAATTTTGTTGGAGGAATTATTATTTATTTTCAGGTAAATTACGGCCACGGCCACTCCTGATGTATGGTCAAATTACAAAAAATCCCTCTATTTTGGGTAATTATAGTCATCCCTTCTTTTTAAATATTTTTACATAAAATTTATGTAATTCGGTTATTTACCAAACCAAATTGTATATTCAGTTTGGTAAACAATATGAAATGTTGGCTTACCGAAATTTTGGTTTTACTGATTTGACGTCCCTAATTTTTTCTCTGCGAAGTTTTTCGTAAGATAATACATAGTTGAAGGAGGTAACTGTAATTACCCAAACATGATGAGAGTTTTTCTAATTTGACCATAACTCAGCGGTTGGCCGTAATTTGCTCTTTATTATATTAAGAATCTCGTGTTACAATATTTCTTAATAAATAGAAAGAAAACGTCTCTAGAAAATAATACTCCTAATTAATACCTTAATTTTCTGGAAAAAATATATATAATTTTGTGTTTTCTATGGTGAATAATAATAATTAATAGAATATGTAAATATAGCTAAAAGACAAAAGACAACTTTTCAGAGTGTATTAATAAGATCTCTTTCTTCTATTCATCTATCCAATCTGTTGCATAAGCCATGTGACTATGTGTATATGTGTGTCAGTGTGTGAGTGTATATATGTGTCTGTATATGTGTATATGTGTGTGTGAGAATAGATTTTTATTGACTCAGTTCAGGTTTGCTGGTCTGTCAGTAATCAATTATTACATGTGTTCTCTTTATTTTTTCTAATAAAAAAAATCTTTGATGAATATTTAGGGACACACAATATATGATTATGTGTAAATAGAAAAACTACACCAAATTATTTTATTTTTGTTCTATTGTGTAATTTTTTTCTTCACAAAATGACCCCTTTTTTTTTTGTTATTATTAAAAAATGATAATAATACGACAACTTTAAGATTAAAAAAAAAAGAGATGATCATCCTTCTTAAAATAATAATTATTATTGCGTATGTTTACTTTGTGATATTTTTATCATACTCGGTGAAGGTTATTGATATGTCTAATTGGGTCAACCCAATGCCCAATGGGCCTATAATTTATTGACTTAATGAGCCACGAGCCCAATATTGAAGACCACTATCACCGAGGCTCAATCACCTTCAAGTAAGGTTTGAGCCCAACAATCTCGACTAAACTATAAATAAATGTTTGAACTCATTCCTTAAGGTAGGTCCTATTATCTGAGCAATACTACAATATGTATTCTCTGGACTATTTATACTATCTGCACGTCTGACTTGAGTGTCAGAGGGGTTTCCGCCGGATCAACCCCCGGTTTAGTTTACGTGTTCTGTGATTGCAGGTATCTCAAGGTCATCAAACTCGTGAGCCAGTGATTCATTCTGCTCTTCCAGTTCATCATATTTCAACACTCTAAGATGATCTATCTCTAGCATATCATTTTGGCGCCACCTGTGGGAAGACAGACTTAATCACGTAGCACGCATGATGGCCTTGAGACATTTGCTCAGGGGGAGTGTGACTGCTAACGACCTCCCACCTCGTGGAGGCTCTGGCTTGCCACTTCCTCCTCCTCGCGCTCGGGATCCACCACGAGACCTTCCTCGGATGTCCCACTAGATCCTCAATAGGATCCACTTCTTCCCTCCCCTCGATCGGTTCAGACCACCGATGAGGCCTTCAACGCTAGCAAGGGTTATGGACTCCCTGGGGGTTTACCTCTGCCCCTAAAATATTTCGTTCGCCAAGGGTTATCGACTCCCTGGGGGTTTAATGTTCGCCCTAAACATTTCGTTCGCCAAGGGTTATCGACTCCCTGGGAGCTTACCTCTGCCCTCAAATATTTCATTCGCCAAGGGTTATCGACTCCCTGTGGGCTTACCTCTGCCCCCAAAATATTTCGTTCGCCAAGGATTATCATCTCCCTGGGGATTTACAGTGCCCCCAAAACATTTCTTTCGCCAAGGGTTACCGACTCCCTTGCGGCCTACCTCCGCCCCCCTCGAACGGTTCAGATAACCGAAGAGGACCTTCACCGTACGATCGTGGAAGCTTCAACTCGTGCTGCCACTGAAACAATGGCACAACCGTGCGCATTCACCTCAAACCATAGGTCTCGAATATAACATCTCAACCGAAGGTTGGGCATCTCATCCCAAGTTTTCGTGATCGCCTCATCCTAAAGTTGGGCACTATCCCACCCCAAGATTGAGCATCTCATCCCAATGGTACAAGATGGTCGTATCCTAAGTTGGGCCATCTCAAGAGCCGGATATACTCTGCCTACTCAAAAAATAGAACATCCCCAAATCCCCAAGAGGTGAACATCAACCACCTAAAGAACACAAAAAAAGAAGAAGATGGAAAAAAAGAAAAAGAAAAAGGGGTCTGACGCGCGCACGACCCAAGGAAAAACAAAAAAAAAAACAAAGGAAAAAGTCAGAACAATTGCCAGTTCGTGCGTGTCTCTCACGCGCCATGCGCGCAGCTTTATTGCGCTCCCTCTCTCACCGCGCGTACGCCGCACGCGCCCGTTCTCTCTCTCCTCCGCGCGTGCAGTGTACGCACCCGCGTGACAACTACCGCACCCCCCATCCCTACCCGCAGCGAGACAACTCGCACGAGGAGCCAACTCGCTCGATACCACAACCCGCAGCGAGATAACTCTCACGAGGAGCCAACTCGCTCGTTACTACGAACCCGCAGCGAGACAACTCCCGCGATGAGCCAACTCGCTCGGTACCACAACCCGCAGCGAGACAACTCCCACGAGGAGCCAACTCGCTCGGTACTACGAATCTGCAGCAAGACAATTCTCACGATGAGACAACTCGCTCGGTCCTACGGACCCGTAGCGAGAGAACTCCCACGAGGAGACAACTCGATTGGTACTACCAACCCGCAGCGAGCCAACTCCCACGAGGAGACAACTCGCTCGGTACTACCAATCCGCGGCGAGACAACTCCCACGAGGAGACAACTCGCTCGGCATTACCAACCCGCAGCGAGACAACTCCAACGAGGAGACAACTCGCTCGGTACTACCAACCCGCAGCGAGACAACTCCAACGAGGAGACAACTCGCTCGGTACTACCAACCCGCAGCGAGACAACTCCCACGAGGAGCCAAATCACTCGGCACTACGAACCCGTTGCAAGGCAACTACCACGAGGTGCCACCTCGCTCGGTAATAAGACTCGATGCGAGACAACTCCAACAAGGAGACAACTCGCTAAGAGCGACCTGAATCCGCATGCTCCCCAATCGTGCGTCCAATGCTCCTACAACTTCGCTCGAGACAACTCCCATGAGGAGACAACTCGTCCGAAATTCACTATATAATCGCAAGCTCAAGTTAGCATGGTTACAACCCTAGAAACACTTAGAGATATTATGGGAATCTATATAGCCTGGCCAGCTTGATTACTCAAAATTTATCTACTTGTTTTCGATGGGTCCTTCATTAAAACGTGGTCACCGTCCAAACATACTTACGACCCACGAGGTCTAACAAGAGGCACGATCCACATAAAATTATCTTGAGAGCCTGATCCCCTCCTCAAGTACATCACGCACAAGGCTATATGTAAACACATACAAGCAACGCGTCAAAACATTGACAATGTTGATAAATAACAACTCCCACGAGTAGAATACTAGCTCCGTGCTACTACATTATCGCGAGACAACTCCCACGAGGAGATAACTCGATCAACTCTATTACCCCATGATGAGACAACTCCCACGAGGAGATAACTTGATTCGAGCTACTACATCGTCGCGGGACAACACCGACGACTCAAGTAACTTATATCGCGACAAATTGGTCGCGCTACGCGCCAACGCGCCTTCACTCCTCTCCGACACACGCGCCAACGCGGTTTTGCACATCATCAGGCCATACGCCAACAAGCGACTACTACAATTTTTACTCTCGACACGATTTGGCACCCATTTCAACATGGCCCCCACATCGACTCGAGAGTGAGGGGGCTTAATGATATGCCTAATTGGACCAACCCAATGGGCCTACAATTTTATTGACCTAATGGGCCACGAGCCCAATATTGAAGACCACTATCACCGAGGCCCAATCACCTTCAAGTAAGGTTTGAGCCTAACAATCTCGACTAAGCTATAAATAAAAGTTTGAACTCATTCCTTAAGGTAGGTCCTATTATCTGAGCAATACTACAATATGTATTCTTTGGACTATTTATACTATCCGCACGTTTGACTTGAGTGTCGGAGGGGTTTTCGCCGGATCAACCCCCGGTTTAGTTAACGTGTTCTGTGATCGCAGGTATCTCAAGGTCATCAAGCTCGTGAGCCAGTGATTCACTCTACTCTTCCAGCTCATCCTACTTCAACACCCTAAGGTGATCTATTTCTAACATCATCAGTTATGTCTGCTGAATTTTTATTGTTGATTTACACACCAATATAAATATGTGTATGTTTGTGTGTATATGAATTGTAAAGATCCAACCAGTATATTTTACCTCAGATGTGACAAATTTTCTTTCAATGTCGACATATTGAATAAATGAGCTATTTAGGTGACAACTTTGATTAAACTAAATAAATAAATAAAAATAATAGTAAATGAAAAAATTACTATAATAATTGTTGTCACCCTAGTTAGATATTATTTGTCTTGTTGTGAGTAATTAGTAATTAACCAATGTTGATATTTGAAGAAAGTTTGGCCGGCCTAAATATGTTAACAATTGAATATCAAAATTCATGAAAAATGCATTTTATATAATTAATTGCTAACTATACTATATTTCCCATGTCACAATCAGCAACAAAATAAAATTATTTATATATATGTTTAATAAATATGTTTATCTTAATGGAGTGGCTGACATGTATACATACAATTATAAGCATGAACCATTTGATTTGGGCATGACAAAATCTTTTTTATTTTATTATTTAATAGAGTAAATTATGTCACTTATGGTCGTTTCATGATTTGGAAATTAGATACCTTCGACCTATTTTAAAAGGGATATAACGAATTGATTTTAAAATTGAAACTCGTCATATTGGCTTTGATACTAATTGTCAGTACATTAAACATATATAAACGTTCGCAATATTTAATGTACAAAATCAGACCTTTCTACGTGGACAATTAATATCAAACTCAGACTAACAGAAAATGACTCAATCTAGTATAAATTTAATTTAGGGCATATTACAAATAAGCCCATCAGTGGGAACTTATTCATAAAGAGATACAGACAATATTCTCCTTTACCAATAAGTCCACACATGGTCCAGATTTATGTAAAGGACTAAAATAACCCCTCTTACTTTTATATGCTCCAATTTCATCCTTAACTTAATTTAACTTCAATTTGACCTCAAATTTCACAAATTATTCAATTTTGACCCAAAACTTTTTTTTTTCAAAAACTTTTTTTTTCCGCCGGATTCCGGCGTTGACTTTTTTTTTTTTTTTTTTTTTTTTTTTTTTTTTTTCTTCCGGATTTTTTTTTCCGGATTCCGGCGTTGACCGGCGGTCAACGCCGGTCTCCGGCGTTGACTTTTAATTTCTTTTTTTTTTTTTTTTTTTTTTTTCCCTCCGGATTCCGGCGTTGACCGGCGATAAACACCGGTCTCCGGCGTTGACTTTTTTTATTTTTTTTTTAATTTTTTTTTCTGTAACTTTTTTTTCCGTTTAAACAACAATATTGCTTTGAATGACAGTAATATTAACTATATTACTGTTAAGGGGTAATATGCTATGAGTCCCTCAAATCAAACCTAATTTGAACTAAATGACAAGTCTAAATTCAATCTTTTAATTAAATCCTCAATTTGAAATAATATATGACTCACATCCCTAAATTTTTTTTAATCCCTATCTTGCCCTTATACCTTAAATAATATAACTTACATATATCACGTTTCTCATCTCAGATTTATTTCTCTTCTTCCATCTTTTCTCTCGCTTTTTCCTCTCGTCTTCTTTATATCGATCTCTCTCCTCTCTCTTTTTCTCTTACATCTCTATCTTGCTTCTCCATCAAGCACAAAGGTCGGCGACCAAGAGAGCAGGAGTGGAGCGACGGAGGAAGTGGTGGAGGCGGCAGCGGCGGGGTATTATATGGCGGAGAAACAGGTTTTTTTTTTTTTTTTTTTTTTTTTTTTTTTTATAATATTTGCTAATTTTTTTTCATTTTTTTGTATAGATCTGTGATTAAAAGTATATGTTGATTAATTGTATATGTTTTGTTGATTTTTTAAGAATTTTGACTTGGTTTTGGATCTGATTTGCTATTTTTATTCGATTTGTTACAGGTTATTGAGAACGTTTTTAGGGCAATGATTGCGTGGCGGCACACGTTAGGGTTCAAAATTCCAGATCTAGGTTTTTCAAAAGATGGTAGGTGATTATGGGTGCCGACGGTTGCAGTTGTCGGCTGCCAGGGTTTGACGGCGGCTGCGTCGATTGCTAGGGTTGGCGACGGCTAGGAGTTTTTGGCGGCTAGGGTTTGGAATAGTACACCGTAGTATAGTATAGTCCTGCGTAGTATACCACAGTACACCGTAGTATACTACAAGTTGATGTACTGTATATGAATATCCATATATGAATAGCCAGATGATGTATTGTATATGAATAGCCAGACAATGTACGAAGAAGTAAAACTCCAGTTTTATATGCCTACAAGCATGATAATGACTACAGTAAATATAGATAACTGCAGTTATTGATAGAAGATTTGAATAAAAAAATAAAAAAATAACATATATATTTTTTTAATTTTCAATACATGTTACGTAAAAAAAAGGATTTTTTTTTATAATAATGTATAAAATACTAAAAAAACGAAAGGAAAAAAAAGGACAAATCGGTATTCTGCAAAAATAAAATTTTGAAAAATGAAAAAATTAAATGCAGACTAAGAAAATGATAAATGCAATTTGAATTTATTTAAGGTAAATTTCGAATTTGGTAGGAGAAGGGCATTTTTGGAATAAATTTAATAAAGGATGTGAAGCAAATGTTTAGTTAGACTTGTCATTTAGTTCTAATAAGGTTTGTCACTAGGGACCTATATCTTAAGGCCCCTACTGTTAAACACAGTAAAAATAACTAAACTATAGTTTAACACAGTGATATTGCTATATTAATCTCTAGCACATTAATATTAACACAACAAAATTCATTATTATTGTATAATAAAGTAATATTACTATGTTGTCCGTTCAACAAATGTAAACAAAATAAAAAAAACCAAAAGAATTAATATTACTGTGAGTGACAGTAATATTACTATAGCAACAGTAATATTACTATAGCAACAGTAATATTACAATAGTAGACAGTAATATTATTACGTTACTCCGTGAATAACTCAAACAAACAAAATATCCAAACAAAAGAATAATATTGATGTGGTTGACATGAATATTACTATAACAAACAGTAATATTACCGTCAACCACAGTAATATTATTGTGTTTACAGTAATATTACAATAATAGACAGTAATATTAATACAAACACCACAAAAAAATAATAATATTGATGTTGTTGACAGTAATATTATTGTGTTTACAGTTATTTTACTGTCAACGACAGTAATATAATTACGTTGACTTGTCAACAAATCAAAAAAAAAATAAAAAAAAATAATAATAAATAAAAAAATATAATATTGCATTAATTTACTGTCAACGGCAACACAATTACATAAATGTAATGTCAACGGCAGTACAATTACGTTAATTAACTATCATTGACAGTATAATTACGTTAATTTACTGTCAGTGACAGCACAATTACGGTCAACGTTTAGCGGCGGACGTGGAAAAACAAAACAAACCAAACAAAACAAAACAAAAGAAAAGAAAAGAGAAAAAAAAAGAAAAAAGCAAAAAAAAAAAAAAAAAAAAAAAGTCAACGCCGGAGACCGGCGTTGACCGCCGGTCAACGCTGGAAACCGGCGAAAAAATCCGGAAGAAAGAAAAAAAAAAAAAAAAAAAATTTAAAAAAGTCAACGCCGGAGACCGGCGTTGACCGCCGGTCAACGCCGGAATCCGGCGGCAAAAAAAAAGTTTTTGAAAAAAAAAATAATTTTTGAAAAAAAAAAATTTTGGGTCAAAATTTAATAATTTGTGAAATTTGGGGTCAAATTGAGATTAAATTAAGTTAAGGATGAAATTGGAGCATATTAAATTATACTCCAAAAAAAAGTCAAAATTGAATTTTTGTGGTCAAAATTGAACTTTTATGGACAAAATTGATTAATTTGGATTACAATTAAGAATTGGGTATAAATGGTTGAGGGTAATATTGGGATATACATGAATGTTTCCTTTAGTTATAATAAATATTAAAGGGATGGGCTTATTGGTAAAAGAGATATGTCCCCTAAACCTAGAATAATAAACATGCTTGGTTGGGGACTTTTGCATAAAAATCCCTTTAATTTAAATATACCACGATAAATCAGAATATGGTTCAAAATGAAAGTTTAATTTGTAAGATTTTTAATTATATTATTATTATTATTATTATTATTATTATTATTATTATTATTATTATTATTATTATTATTTATTATTATTTTTTTAATATTTTGGTACAATCTATTTGTTAATTCATTAAATAGATGAAGGTGGCCTGAAACAAATGATTGGGCCTTGTTTTGGAGACTTCTCAGATTTAGCTAAAACTAAACTGTGCACAACGGCCCAACAACTGACTTTTATCAATTTTAATTTATAGGGTAAATTATGGTCAAATTACGAAAACCCCCCTCTTATTTGAATAATTATATCTACCCATCAACTATGAATCCTCTTACACATCTACCCTTCTGGTGTCAAATTCAATATAATCATCTAGATTCTGTGGAATGTGTGCTCTAGGTTGTACTCGTTTTGTGTCAAAATACAGTTTCTAATGCACCAGAGTTTGATATATATATACGCCGGAAAAATACATCTTATGATCATCTTGCTTCAAAATGTGGAGCTCGAATGGGATAAAACGGGTACAAAACTGATAATATTCCATATAGTCAAGAAGATTCCACTAAATTTGAAACTGCAAGGTAGACGTGTAAGAAAATTTATAGTTGATGGGTTGTTGTAATTACCCAAACAGAAGAGGTGTTTTTATAATTTTATCATACCTCAGGGGTGGTTATAATTTACCGTGTATATATATATATATATATATAAATATATTCGTGGAATATGGGAGAGATTATTATCTTTTTATTTATAATATATTTAGGTTGTGTTTGCAAAAGCTTTTACAAATATTATGAATTTTTCTTTACTCATAATCTGTTTTTACGTGTTTGCAAAATCAATTTTTATTTTTACTTCTCTTAAAACAAGCAGTTTTAAGCTATAACGTACTAAACATCCATGAACCTTCTTTCTTATTTAAATTTATTTTCCAGTAAATTTACAAACACCTAACTTTTAGAAATAAATATTTAAACCAGCTTAGTTTACAAGCCATAACTTCGATTGTTAAATAAGCTTTTACCTAAAGAAAATTCCATAAAATTGATATGTGATTGAAGCCCAATTGGACTCGATAGTATAAAATTATTTGATCGAGGCCCAAAAGAAAAAAAATATTTACACCATCCTTATCCCAAAATAAAAGAAGTTAAACTAAAGCAATAAACAATTAAAAAGTTAATAAATAATGTATAATAGTCACCATAAGATAATATAATTTTCCAAATTTAAACATGGAATAATGTGAAAGTGATGCATAAAAAATAAAAAAATAATAAAAAATAAAAAATAATATGGCTTGATTACTCTAATTTAATGAGATTTCTTATTTCATAAATTTCTCCCCCATATATAATATATATATATATATATATATATATATATAATATATTAATAGCCTTTTTCTCCGACAGTCAATTCTCGACCAATCTTCTTTCCTCTGTAAAAAAAAAAGAAAAAAGAAAAAGAAAAAAAGAAAAATGGAAAATCAGTCATCTTCAACCTGAAAATTGACTGCCAATAAAACCTTAAAAACCTCGAAAAAAAATCGTACAAAAAGGATGTACAACAACATCGGAGATGTCAGCAGCCACCTTCCTAGCAGCAGCAGCGGCGGCGGCGGCGGCGGCGCCGCCGCCACTCCAAGAAACCCCATCATTCCCTACGCCCTCCTCCACCACCACCACCACCAGGTTCACCACCCCATCATGATCCCGCACCTCCCTCCTCCGCCGCTGCCGCAGTTCTCCCCTCCCGGCGGCGCGGACGACGGCGGCGATGATTTTCCGAGGAGGGACGAGAGGGTACCGCAGTGGAGCAACCAGGAAACAAGGGAGTTCATCGAAATTAGGGCTCAGCTCGAATGGGATTTTATTACAGCAAAGAGGAACAAGAATTTGTGGGAAGCGGTGGCGAATCGAATGAGGGAGAAGGGCTACCGGAGAACCGCCGATCAGTGCAAATGCAAGTGGAAAAACCTCGTCAACAGATATAAGGTATTAATTAATTAATTATATACATACATGAATGTGATTTTTGTGTGTGTGTGTGTGTGTGTGTTTTTTTGGTTAAATTTATGTGCCTTGTTTGAATGATTAAATTGATGTGTTGGTTGATGAAATCAAATTTGTATACGTGATTTCGCGAATCGGGAATGTAGTTTTACCCGATTTTTTTTTATCGAGTTTGCGCGTAATTTCTCTGTGTAATGGTATTATGTTATTATTGATGTTCGAATAATGGAATCTGGATTAAATTGAGTTAAAAGCTCGATCGAATTTGTATTCGGGTCGAACGCAAATAACCGTTTCTGTTTGTGCATGTCGAAGCTAGTTGATTGATCGCAGTAATCTCTTTTTCTCGCGATAAAATTTGTTCCAAATCGAAGTATCGTGAGTTCTTTCGTGGTCATGATTATTATAGTCACGGGTGGCTTGGATAAATTGCGAAATCTGAGTTAGTCATATCGTGTTGGATTTCGTGATTTTAAATGTTATTATTGACTCGTGATTGTATCGTGCTTCGGTATTTGCGGAAATTATTATGGGAAAGTGAAATGTTGTAAAAGAAATGATTTGGAAGTTTGTTGTTCCATAAAACGAGGCTCGTTTAAGATTTGACCGTACGAATAATTTTCCCTTTTGTTGGAGTTGTGCTTATTTCTTGGCTCAACGAAACGAGGAAACATTTTGTGGGAAACAAAAGCCCAATTAATGAACCCTCGGCTTTACTTTAGTAACTTCTCCGAGTTTTTATCGAAATCGGAGAACGGTAATATTTTGCTCTTTATATATCTCAATTAAAAATCGGATCTTGAAAGTGAGAATTTTCATAGATGTCGCGCGTGTGTAACGAGTTAATCATTTAGTCAAGTTATTTAATTTAATATAATAATCGTTTCGAATTTGGTGCTCGTTTAAAAATACAGGGGCAAGAAGCATCCGATGTGGAAAACGGTCGACAATGTCCATTCTTCAACGAGCTGCACACAGTGTTCACAGCAAGGGCCAATCAAATGCCGCCACATGTCGACACTGAGAGTACCGGTATTTCCAAAGGAAAGAAGCGCCTCATAAATATCTCCGAAGATCAATCCCATCATGAAGAATTCTCCGAAGACGAGACGACGGTTCCGAAGAGAAAACCCGGTAGGGAAAAGAAGCAACAAAAAATAGCCGGAAAAAAGGAAATTTATTCGAACAAAAACGAAAGCATTCTCAACGGTCTTCGAGAAACAATGAGGGGTTTCATGGCGCAGCAGCAGAGGATCGATGTGCAGTGGAAGGATACGGTGAAGAAGCGGGCCCACCAAAGGGATATATTCGAGCAGGAGTGGCGGCAGACGATGGAGAGGCTCGAGCGGGAGAGGCTGTTGATGGAGAGGGCCTGGCGGGAGAGGGAGGAGCAGCGGCGGTCGAGGGAGGAGAATCGGGCGGTGAAGAGGGACGCCCTGTTGACTACGCTTCTTAACAAACTTCTTCGTGACGAAATTAGCGAATTTATTGCAGTCGAAACTAATTTTTTTATACATACATAGGTTTTTTGGTGGATTCAAACATAGCAATGGAGTTTTCTTTCTTTTGGAAACTAATCTTAGAGGTTTTATTTATATATATGCATAGTAATATTGATACTCCTTTTGTTCTTGTGAAAATGTTACGACTAGGGTTGGAAATTGGAACGAAATTTTTCGATTCTGTCGGTTCCAATTCGATTTTTTTCCGACTTTGGAACACTATTTTACGTTCCGATTTCCGAAAATTTCGATTCCATTTTTTGAAATGTTTTGGTTCGGAATTGGAATATATATGAGATTCCGACCTCCGATCCGATTTTAATTTCCAGAAATAATTAATGAAAGCATACATTTTCTATTTTAGATGATTACAAAATTAAATTTTCAAAATTTCGACAATTAGGGTCCGAAAATTTCCGATTTTGGAACGAGTTTTTTTTTAGTACCGGTTTGCGAGGCTTTTTGATTTTCGTTCTTTTTTTGGAACCGATTTGTGAATTGTGATATTCTCAAGGGAGCCAAACGATACTAAACACATAGTTGAGGGGGCAAACTCAAATTAACCCCACAATTTTAAAAAAAATCGGAATGTCATCCACAAACACGGGGGCGTCGGTCACACGTGCGGATGCATCACAGTGGCACGTGCCACCTGGCTCTAACTCCCATTGGCTTCTTCTACTCCCCCACTCACTGTCCTTTCGATTCCGAGCATCTATTTTCTCTCTCTAAAAACCTCTCTCTCTCACTCATCAAAACCCAACAGTCCAACACTCTCTCACTCCTCACAGCGCACACACACACACACACACGCAGTGACGTCATCATATACACGTATAATTTTAGAGAGAGAAAGTGGACGAAGCGGCCATTATCTGTATCCTTTACCTCTTATCTGAGCTGAAATTTCATAGATCAAATCTGCTACTTCCAGGTAATTTTAATTTTGTTTGTTCTAAAGTGAAGAATTGTATCCGCATTACGTATTTTAGTTAATTATTGTAACAATCGAAGAGTAGCCCACTGTTTTTAGAAACAGAGATTTAGGTCGTGTGGGTTTGGGGAGAAAAGAAACTTTGCTGTTGCTAGTGGTGCTTGTACTTTGTGCTTCTGAAGGTTGTACGTTGATTTAGCTATATAATGTGCAGTTTTTTTTTGGGGGTTTAATTGGGATTTTGGGGAAATGTTTAGAACGTATGGGTGATCGGTGGAAGAAGGGAGTACTGGGTGGCTGAATTATGCCATTGAACTGGTGATTTTTGATCCCGTGTATAATTGGGGTTTATCAATTCTTAGATGGTGAAAAGCTTGTGTGCGTTATTCTAATATCGATTTCGGGCCACTTGCGTACAGTGACGTACTCTCTAATGATGGTGCGATGGCATTCTCTGATATTTAGTGCCGTTTGCTGTTGTAATTTGAAATGTCTGCGCACTTGTTTACTTGTGGTGTCACACGGAATTAACCATGTCACATGATTTAGCTGGTTGTTTCAGTTATAGGCTTATGCTAGTGTTAATAATTTTATTCGACAATATTTTGAGTTCTCGAATGATTTGTTTGCTTGGCAACCCTTTCCTTTCTTCTTTAGCTTGGAATTCATCATTTTTACCTTTGCAGTTTCTCTTAAGATTGTTCTTTATGGGGGCAACAGTGTTTATATGAAGTTCATGGTTTGAAAAAGAACTATTTATATTATGAATTATCTACCAAGCAGGTAGTTCTTGCGGGGTTCAGTTTCAATTTCACTTTCCTTATTGAAGTGTAGGTTGTGTAGCTGTATTTAGAATCTCGGAGTAGAGGTTCGGTTCGGATCTAGGTTGAAATAGGTTGCATGCCCCTTTATAAATCTAGGACTAGAATATCTTTGAAATTGCGAATATAGTATATGCCTATAAATTACCTTTTTTTAAACCATTGTCATTATTATTATTATATATTTTAGTTTTTGAATTGCAATCAAACTTGTAACGAATTAAGTAAAAGATATCTAGTTTTTGACTCTGAAATGTCAATTTTTAGGTCATGAGAAAGTTGTGAACTGAATGTTATTTTAATGCATAAGCAAATATCATGTGATTAAGATTTTCTAAGATAGAATGTGTGTTACATGCATTAATTACTCGGGAAAATTGGGTAAATTTCTTACTTCTGATACAAAAGTTCTAAAAAGAGGATACTTATGTGATTAAAAATGCGAGGTCTTACTTTTGTAAAATTTTCTCTTATTTGTCTCTTCAAGTTGAGTTAACCTCTTATTCATAAATCCTATTTCTAATACTAAATACAGCTTGCTCCGCAAAAGTTAACTTAAACATATTACTGCGTGTTTGAGTCGAAGGATCTTATCTGTGAATAATTGTTTCAGTACTTAACAAAGTCAAAATAATTACATTCATAAACCCGAGGCGTTAAAAGCTGAACATATTCTATTTTCAACAAGTTACAATGAAGGCGCATAAAAAGTGGAATCCTTGTAACATGAATAATCTTTTCTTTGACCCTCACTTATGTTTGATGATTATGTTCTTCTTTCGACTTTTCAACCAGTTCTTTGGCCCTGCACCTGTGTGATCTTGTGTGCGATTTAAAACTTCAAAGAACATATTTTAAGTGGTGCTTGCATTACTTTAAAACCTGGAAGTCTTAGTAGTGTCTTTTGAAGCATTATTGAGACATACGAAAAATCTTATCCCACATGGATTTTGTACTCTGGATAAGAAAAAGAGAATATGCATGAACTTCGTTTTTCCAGATTTTCATTTTTTTTTTCATGTCTTCTATGAACTAACCATATTAATTTTATTTTACAGGAGACACTTTCTTATATTCTCTTCAAGTGGCCGCTCTTTGAGTTATCAACTTAATTACTGGATGACCCGTGGAGTTATTTTACAGCCTCAAACATCTGATGTTTTGTACCTATCTTATTATGCCTGACCAGCAACACAATGAACAGTTTCCCTGTGAATTTTCAGCACTTAGTTTTATGCATGCTGTTGCTTTACAGTCTACCAAAAGAAATTGAAGCTCTCAGTCCTGATGGTACGCTGGCTAATTGTTTATTTGACATCTATTTTTTATGTTAATGAAGTTGAGTTAAAGACTTTATATGCTAAGAGATTGACTAAATATTACAATATATAAATGCAAACAAAATGATGAATTGCAGTGTGTTTTTCTTTTAAAGCTGTATCATTGAGGTGTTGAAAGCCCTTTGCTAGTGCTATTCCTATGCTAAATAACTAAAGAAATGCAATGTTTGAGTCCACTTCGATGGATGTCCTGGAGGCATTTCTTCGAAATGGTTACATTTCACTTTCTGAGTTGCAGGTCAAGCTCTTGTCAACTTTAGGACAGCCATAATTAGTTCAGATGGTATTCTACAGCAGTGGAGACCAGAGGATGAGGATCCGTGTGGTTGGAAAGGAGTAAAATGCGACTCCAAGTCAAAGCGAGTTACAGCCTTGTAAGTTCCTTGATACTGAAGGCTGTTACGAAATCTTACTAAAATTTGATGCATCAGTCTACTTATATAATTGTCATTCGTTAAAGTTGAAAGATATTTGGCAGGCAAACACATGGGCATACATGTGCATCAGTTTATGCCACATATTCATGCATAAATTTATAAAATGAAGAAAGCATAAATTTCACTCCTAAATGTAAATGATTGTTTAAAATGCAGGAGCCTCCCTAACCGCAAGTTGAGTGGCCCAATATCAGCAGATATTGGGAAACTAGACAACCTGCAATATCTGTATGTATCTTTTTTTGCTTCTTTTTCCTTTCACATCTCAATCATAACTTCTACTTATGATGGCTTTTTACTCGTTTGTAGAGCTCTTCATGACAACAACTTTTATGGGGAAATCCCGCCAGAACTGGGGAACTGTACTCAGTTGCAATCAATGTAATATATTTATATTCTGAAATTTTACATTATTCTGAAAATTGTTGAATGTCATATTTCGGAAATTTTGAGTTCTGCTGACACAAAATTGGAAAATGGCCTTTTTGACTTTGGGCTATTAATCGAAGATCTATAGCAAAAATTGCATGTAACTGACTTATGTCTACTGAATCATTTTCTGGATAGCATTTCTTTGCACTTGTTTGCTGACCATGTCGAAGACGAGTTCCTTATCTAATGTATTTGGTATGCAGTGACCTAGAGCTTCTTAAATATGCAACATATGACTTGTACCAGCAACATATGCCTTGTACCCCACATGAAATTGTTGTTGATGTTAGTATCGACTGTTCCATAGTTCACTTGTAGAGTGGAACTGACGAATTTGATCAAATTTCTCATAAATAAATGCAAAGATTTAGCAATTTATGTCCTGGCAGGAGAGTTGGTGCTAGAGCAGTGCCTTTTGCGACCCCCATCGAACATATATATTTCTTAGGTTGCGAGAACTTCTACATTTTGTCACCATCAGGATTCTCTATATTTTTTGAATCATCTTATTTGTCTTACCTCCTTCAAAAATCACTGAGTGATAGCTGAGCAAAAAATACCCAGAAATACTGTAATTATTGTTTCTATTCACTTTTCGTCTTAATGTTTAAGTCTATTTATCTTTTATTTTGTTTGGATCAAGTGTGGGATTTTTCATATCCTATTTGTACAGATTTTTGCAGGGTAACTACCTAAGTGGATCGATTCCTGGTGAACTGGGAAACCTGTCTCAGCTTGAGAATTTGTAAGCAACATACTGAAATTGCTGAATACTTGATATTTTTTATGCTTGAATCTTACCTTTCTCATATCCAGTATTGGAGCTATGGCTTGTCCGGTTCTTTCTACAAAGTTTGCATGAATTCGGAATTACCTTTCAAATTCATATTTTCCAATTACTTTAGAGTTAAAGGTGTGATTATAATATGTACTCTTCTAATTTTTCCCTTCACCGATCACACAAAAGTATAGAAGTCAAGATCCTCCGAGTGAATTCAGTGGTTAGCTAAGTATTCTATTGAGAAGATTGCTTCCTAATTGTATTAGCAGGATGTGATCATCTTGAACTATATCCGCTTGTGTTTGGTATCACACTTATAGAAATGCATAGATTAGGTGCATTCCTAAAAGTTAATATTTTGTTCATATGCTGCTTTTTGCAGGGATGTCTCCAGCAACTCTCTCAGTGGAAGCATTCCTGCTACACTTGGAAAGTTGAGCAAGCTTTCTAGTTTGTGAGTGACCTGTAAAGTTTTAAAAAATGTCAGTCTAATATTTTTCTGATCGGCCTAATTCATTGTCATGATTTTTGAAGTAATGTTTCCACAAATTTTCTGGTGGGACCTATACCTTCTGATGGTGTTCTTGCGAACTTCCGGAATGACTCGTAAGTGTCGAATTCTTCTATGCTAGTTACATGGCCTTCATACTCAACTTTTCGCCTCCTGATTTGATACACTTAATTTCTCTTCTTGTAGCCTTGCTATTTGTGTGTTTATTTAGATGCTGTGATTTCATTTCTGTTTGACTGATTGAACTATTCTTTTTTTTTCTATATTTACATTGTGAAACTATGAATATAAAAGAATACAGTAGATAACTCTAGAATCAGAGAGAACAGAGGAGGAATTACTATTTTAGTTCTAAAGCCACTTCTCTAACTTCTAATGGTTGCCAAGTATGGAAATGATCCCTTCTTCTGAAGTACCACAATGTTATTTCTGTTGGGAAAATTGGTTAAAAATTGAGTCATGAATTAGCTACGGCTCCAATGTTAGCATTTTATTTTGTTTTTCGATGGGTTCATATAGGTCTTTTATGCTATTCCTGTTTATTTTTCCCTTTATTGTATTTTAATCGGTATTTTACTTTCTGATTTAATGTCCAGATTTGTTGGAAACCGTGGGCTGTGTGGTAAGCAAATTCAAAGATGTACGAAAACTGGTAGTGGTTCATCCTTTTCGCAGCCTACAGATTCAGGTACCTTATTCTCTCTGCTGCGTGAGTAAACTGCTCATTTACTGTCATTCTAGTTCTACAGCCAGAGTTCTGAAGTCAACATTCTATAGTGAGTTACGACCATTGGCTCTTCTCAGTGAGCAAAGAAGGGGTGGGGTAGTTTTCCTCCTTTATCTTTTCATGTTTTTTTGGTGGGATGAGAATATACTGGTCCATTGGTTCACCTATCTGAAGATGAAGGAACCCAAAATCCGGAAACCTGTAAAAAAAGACTTGACCACTTTAGGTTCTTTTCGCGGAATTTAGTGACTACAAAACCCTCATCTTACTTTCCCTCCTAAGCGTATATTATTTCTCCTAAGATAAGACAATAGTGGTAGAGTACTAGAGTATTGGTCATATTTCTGGAAATTCTTTTCCCAAACCCCAAGCAAAGTAGAATTTTTGTTCAGATACTTCTATGAGATTACAGATTTTCTGATTGATTACAAAATTTATGTTTTGGCTATTCTTCTTGTATTTTTGCCATTTTATCCCCTTGTTTGGGAAAATTACATTAACTACCCCTGAGGTGTGTGATCTAATAAAAAAAACACCCAACTTATTTTTAGAATTAGAAACACCCCTTGAGATATCACAGTACCCCTTCAGGTTTGTTTTTACTTTGCAAACACCTCCCTTGAAAGGGGCAATTGCAAAATAGAAACAAAGGCAATGGAGTATTTGTAATGCAAACTTAGCTTCTTGTTCGTGTTTTTTCGAATGGATAGCCCGAAGGGAACTTTTTGTAATTAATCCTATCATTTTTTAAGTAGCTGTTGATCTTTGTCTTTTGTGGTGTTTTTAGCCCAATTTCAAGCCAAGAAGAATTCAGGGAGGCTTCTGGTTAGTGCACTGGCCACTGTGGGTGCGTTGCTTCTGGTAGCTCTTATGTGTTTCTGGGGCTGTTACATGTATAAGAGGCTTGGTAAAAATGATGGCAAAAGCCTTGCTATGGATGTTAGTGGAGGTAAATATATACACATGCATGCAAATCATAGTGTTTTTTTTTTTTTTTTTTTTTTTTTTTTTAATCTTTAAAGTCGATCCCATCATGTTGTGTTGATATTTTTTCAGGAGCCTCGGTTGTAATGTTTCACGGAGACCTGCCCTACTCTTCCAAGGATATTATCAAAAAGTTGGAGAATTTAAATGAAGAGCATATAATTGGTATGGGGGGCTTTGGAACTGTGTACAAGCTTGTGATGGATGATGGCAATTTATTTGCCTTAAAAAGGATCGTGAAGGTCAATGAGGGCTTTGATCGCTTTTTCGAAAGAGAGCTTGAAATTCTTGGAAGCATCAAACACCGATACCTGGTGAACCTTCGAGGGTACTGCAATTCCCCGAAATCGAAATTGTTGATATATGATTTCCTCTCAGGAGGCAGCCTTGACGAAGCTCTTCATGGTTAGCGACTCCCTTATTTATTTTCAGTATTAAGTCCCACACTCTCGGTATATTCCTCTGAACTCACTGTATTCGAAAACATGCAATTGGGCAGTTATTAGTAACAATCTGTCGCTAAGACTAGTTCGACATGCTTGCTTTCTCTTTGATTTGGGGCCATCGTTTTTATTAATAATGCAATCTCTCTTTGACGCAGATAGAGCAGAGCAACTAGATTGGGAGGCTCGTTTAAATATTATCATGGGAGCTGCAAAGGGCTTAGCCTATCTGCATCATGATTGTTCACCTAGAATTATTCACCGAGACATCAAGTCGAGCAACATTTTGCTTGATGGAAATTTTGATGCTAGAGTATCCGACTTTGGACTGGCTAAATTATTGGAGGATGAAGAATCCCATATTACAACAATTGTAGCTGGAACATTTGGATATCTGGCTCCGGGTATGTGTACAACAATATATTACTGAGCCAGAAAACATATGTTTTTTTTTTCCTGATTTTTTTCGTCCATTGATATACATATGTTTCAGTAGAGATACGTAAAGATCCCGATACCCTTTCTCAGTGTTCTGTTCGTTTATGCTCTTATGAAAATTTTCCCCTTCATGATAATGAGATCTTACAAATCGTTTGATGCTGACTTGTATACTGAAATGTTTATTGGGCAGAGTATATGCAGAGTGGTAGAGCTACAGAAAAGACAGATGTTTATAGTTTTGGTGTTCTGGTGCTCGAGATTGTGAGCGGAAAGCGACCTACTGATGCATCTTTCATCGAGAAGGGCTTCAACATTGTTGGATGGGTACGATTTTCCTTTTGAGCTTTGAGTGTTGAAAATGTTGCAACATTATCTACTCCTTTGAGCAAAAAAAATTCAATCGTAGTTAAAATTAACCCTATTATAGAAATTGCACGAATAGTAATTCTATGCTCGTATTATTTGTTAAGGTTTTCTCCTCACCTGTTTCATATATTTGCTTTCATTTGTTGCAGTTAAATTATTTAGTTTCGGAAAATAGACCACGAGAAATAGTCGATCTACACTGTGAAAGAGTGCAGGCAGAAAGCCTCGATGCCCTACTTTCAATTGCCATGCAATGTGTTTCTTCAGTACCCGATGAACGTCCGACCATGCACAGGGTAGTTCAAATACTTGAATCTGAAGTCATGACCCCTTGCCCTAGCGACTTCTACGATTCCAGCTCAGATTGAAGGCCAATCTTTTCACCGAACAAAAGAAATCCCAACCTATTTATCTGCAGCAAAAAAAGTCGGAAATCAACAATAACACACAGAATATTCTGAATTCGAAATTATTCATTCTTTTTGGCAAAAAATTATGATTGGAATTTATGCTGGTGATTTTCTGCATTTGTCGTCCTCGAATTAGAGCGAGTGATCTGCCTGCCGCATCAGGTTTTTCTTTGTCCATGTAAATTATTATTATTTTCTTTTTCTTTTTCTTTTTTACTGGTCATTTCTCTGAATCAATTGTATATCAAGTGTTTGAATTTATTTACTGTCTCCATATACTGATGGGTATTTTCGTAATTTGGTTGCATTTTTGTATTATTACTCACATAACAGTCATTGATACAACGCAAGACTGAAAATACTTTTTAGTCTATAGTTTATGGTTTCATATATTATGTAGGCATTTACTTGCATGAATGTCTTAACCTGTTGCTATTTATTACCTATCCTTATTTCCCGATTGTTGTGAATCGATCAACGTAATTTTGTGCAATCTCAAACCTAAACTCACTACTCAATTGAATCGAACCGGAGATAATGTAGTTCGCAGCAAGGAGATGTATATTTCAGATCAATGGAGACGATTACAATCACACGCATTACTAACCGGCACTAGCAGAGCCAAGATTCAAACCTTGCGGGGGTCGAATGCATTAAAAAATATTATGAGAGGGGGGCGGTAATGCAATTATACACAATTTTTCTAAATCTTTGTATAAAATAATATGAATTTGAGAAATGCCCCCGTTCTATGCTGGCTCTACTCACCGCAGAAGAAGCATAAACCCGAAGTGTTCTCTCACTTCTCTAGGTAGCACTGATTGTACATCACCAAAAAACTTCTGAAAAAAAAGAACAACTTTTCGACTTTTAATTGAAAAATTAAATAAATTTGAACATTGGAATGACACAGATCAATTTAGCTGAAGGTAAATAACAAGTACAAAAATTCACAGAAATGCTGTTATTTCATTCAGCCTTAAACTGCATTTTCGACAAAAACGTCGTAAAAAAAGAATACATAGGAAAACTCAATCTGTTCACGATATTATGACTGGGTTTCTTCTGCAAACTACTTATTAGCCACTGATAATCGGAAAATGCATCTTCCGATAACGGCTCCAACAGTTCGCACTTGGACAGTATTTCAGAAGGCGGTACATTACAAATGAGATTCGTGTCCAGATTCGGTCTACCCTTTTTACGTTCTTTACGCTCTTCTTCGAATGAGGCTTCGAGCGAAATCGGAGATGCACCGGAAATAGTCTCTTCCTTGAAAGGCGAAGCTCTTTCTGGTTGCAAACAGAAATCGACCCATTGTTGTACAAGCGGCGATGGTCCTCTAATTCTTCCTCCAATTTGATCTGTCACAAGTCTCGATGCAGCTGGTACAACCTGCACCACGAATTAAGACAATAATAGGTGTGGAAATCGAACAGATGGGATAAGAATTAACACTTCCGCAATTTTTTTTTTGTTTTCGGGTTGAAAAGCTAATTAGGAAAAACTGAAATCGAAATTGGGAAATGGAAAACCTTGTTCAGAATTCGGAAATTGTCGGATCGGGACCCGGTGTGGCAATTTCTATTTTTTCAGTCACCTATAATTTAAACTACATAATGATATTTCATGTGCAATTTTTGATTTTTTTTTTTTGGAAATTAAAATTGGATCGGAACTCGGAACTTTCGGAATTCGGAATGTAAAGTATTATTCCAAAATCGGAAATATTCGCAACAGAATCGGCAGAATTCGGAAATTTCGTTCTAATTTTCACCCCTAATTCGGAAATTAAATTCGGAATGTAAAGTATTATTCCAAAATCGGAAATATTCGCAACAGAATCGGCAGAATTCGGAAATTGCGTTCTAATTTTCACCCCTAACTAGAATCGATAGAGCATATAAGTGCATGATTAAAGAATTAAAAGGGAAAAAAGAATACATACCCAGAAATCCGCCCATAAGCTAGCACCAGATTTAGGAACTATTACGGAAACATTCGACATTGTTTTAGCAACAGGAAGAACATCACTGCTCCATCCAACAGCCACCCATACATCTCCTGCTCTGAAAGCTTTCAGATAGTGCTGAGTATCAAATAATCGTACCTGTGTAAATCAATTTCGTTTAAGCAACGGTCTTTACTCGTTAGAGATTGACAGCAAACGCAAAATGAACATAAAAATTGATTATACAATAATCAAATCTTTTAAATATTTACGCGGTTTTTGGCCAGCATGGAGTGAAGAACCAATTTCGTTACCTGTTGAACAAGCAATTCCAGCTGCTGCAGCACGGCAGTTTTCCCTCCAACAACTTGAGCGTCAATGTTAGTAGTATTATACGAAGCTCCAATATACTTCAGCACCGCTCCAACAATCTCTCGAGGTGAGTCAACCATCGAAATCTTTCCAGCAAGTTTAGGGCTCCATAAATCCGACCAATCCTGCATGTATCAATTAACACAACCGTTGAAACTATATACGAAAATCAAGACTTCGGAATTAGTCGAGGATGAAAGGACAATCACCTCTATTGGAGCCAAATTATGCTTTTGAAATTCTTTTTTATTATACGCTATGACCATACTTCCCCAACGATAAGGCACGGCCCATATTATTCCCTGAGAATCTAAATTCCCCTCGGTGCTCCTGCGTAAATATACCTGAGATTATTTCAAAATGTAACAGGTTCTGATATTCCGTACATGTCCAATTTAAACGGTAATAAGAGATGACACAAATGACCATATATTATTTCCAAGTAAAATCCAATATGAAGACTCACAGAATCGAGATTTGAGCCCAAAAAAAAAAAAAAAAAAAGCAATGCATTCTCACCTTCCATTTGTGACTTAAATCACGAAACCAGTCTTGATTTTCGGCTCCTTCTATGGGCTCAATTAACCCCTTGTCAATGGCAAAATTTAGCCACGAATCACCAAGAGTAACAAGATCAGCTGCCACAGCAGATTTAGGATTTATTTTACCGTTCTTTATTGGATTCGAGAGTTCGTTAAATATATCTCTGAGGCTTCGACGGAACGCTGGACGGAACTGCACCCTCTTTCCTTGAGATTTTAAGAATTCCTGCATGTTGAGAAGTAAAATATAATATTTATTCAAGAACAAGAAAGAAATCGAAAAAGAATATACTTCAATTTTATTCTACTGTAATTTCAATGGAAAGATTTAAGAGCTCACCCGAACCCATACGGTAGGCAGTGAGCCTTCCAGAGCAACTATTTTGAGAGGGACAGTCAACGCGTATGATTTCGTTTTCCATCGTTCAAATTCCGATTTTAAATCCTCGTCTTCGATATTCTCCACTTCTTCAGATTCACCCACATTATTATCAGTATCTGTAAATGGAAAAAGGAGATCATACAACACACAAAAGCACAATGGTCCAATAAACTACAGAGAATTGCACAGTTTGAGCAGATTAAATCAGGGTACAAGCAATGCAGCAGAAAGTACAATGCTCGAAATAAACTACAGAAATTGCAAAACCTGAGGCAGATTAAATAAGCAAATACAGGAGAAAGTACAACGGTCCAATCAATAAACTACAGAGAATTGCACAATCTGAGCAGATTAAACCAGGGTACAATCAATGCAGCAGAAGGTACAACGGTCCAGCAAAGTACGACTACGAAGCAGCAAAGTACAATAATCTGAAGCAAGTGAAGTAAAATTTACCGAGAGTTTCCTGTGGGTGAACTAATGGGGGCGGAGAAGCAGGAGAAATGCAGGCCGAAGATGGGGGAGGAAAGGCCCAAAGGCTGCTCACCCCCAGGCCGATGATAGCAACGGAGGAAACAGAGAGTCGCCGGAGAAAGTCCGCCGCCGGCGAGCATGAATTATTGTTCGATACGGCGGCGATTCTGATTGAGAGGTCTGCGGGTTGATGATTGCTGCCATATGAGCGGATCCTTATACGGGTCGGGTTCGGGTTTGAATATGTGAGAACGGGTAGAGCAGCGAAAGAGAGTACTGGCATTTCTAAGAGAGAAGGAGAGAGGAGGTATTTTTGTGATTCCTCTCTTTATTTTGTACCGCACAAATAATACTTTTCCTTAGAATAAAAATAAAAAATTGAAGGGGAAACTACAGATAAATCCCTAATCCAAAACTCAACTCACAGATCAGTCCCTAGGTAGTTTCCCCAAGCAATTCAGTCCCTACTCACGCGCCTAACATGCAGTTCAGTCCCTAATAAAATGTGCAAATACTAAAATACTCTTTACTTTATACTAATTTTACATAACTTATTTCCAATCTCCAACGCGCCGTTTGTGTTACACGCTCTTTGCCTGTTACATTTCAAAAATCAAACAACAAGAAATAAGCTAAAAAGGCGCAGGAAAAAAACCACCGTTCAGTTTATACCCATTTACAGACAAAGAAGAAACAGAGAAGAAATGAAGAACAAAGAAACAACAAAGAAGGAAGAAACAACGAAGCACGAAGAATCAACAAAACGCAGAAAAATTATAAAACGAAAGGAAAAATAAAAATAAACAAACCCATTTCTCGACAATGGTGAAGCAGGGTAAACAACAAGGTTTGATTTTTTTTTTTCTTTCATTTTCTTGGAAACAGACCCATTTGGGTGTTGCTTAAGCTTGCAAAAAGGTTTATTTGTTGTAGAATTGCATGATTTTGAACATATCCTCTCATGGGTATTATGCCTCGACTTTATTCGGTGTTTTCCCTAATCATTAAATCGGTTCCAATATCTGTTTTTTTGTTGTTTGGGTTTGCAAAGATCATTTATTTGTTGTCGAATTTCATGATTTTGTAACAGTTTCCTCGTGGGTATTATTCTTCGGTGACATTGGCATGTCCCCAAAGCATTTTGAGTCCGAACAAGGGTTTCATATAGGATATGGGAAAGAGGCTTATTGTAGTTTTCGTACTGGTTCTATAGTATGTGTCATGTGCAGTAATGGTATTAATAGTGCATTTAGATGGTACTGACACAGGGTACTCGAAGTACTGTCCCGAAAGCATTTAGTCCCAACAAGGGATATGTCATATGTAATAATGGTATTGCTCTTGACTTCGGACGGTATTAACACAGGGTACTGGAAGTATAATCTTTGATGGTTCTGTAGTATGTGTCATATGCCACAATAGTATTACTAGTGCCTTTGAATGGTATTACTAGTGACTTTGGATGGTATTGACATATGGTACTAGAAGTATAATGTTTGATGGTCCTGTAGTATAAGTCATATGCCATAATAGTATTACCAGTGCCTTTGAATGATATTACTAGTGACTTTGGATGGTATTGACATGTGGTACTAGAAGTATAATGTTTGATGGTCCTGTAGTATAAGTCATATGCCATAATAGTATTACTAGTGCCTTTGAATGGTATTACTAGTAACTTTGGATGGTATTGACATGTGGAACTTTATAGTACGTTGTATTTGTTATAATTGTAGTTTTATGTGTATGTAATTGCATGAATTGATGTAAAAGAAGATTGCAGCAAGCTATCAATAGGCTGCAGGTGCTCACCGATCGCTTTTCAAACAACCATGGAAGGTGTGAAAAAAGTGATGAAGAAACAACATTATGAAGTACTGAAGAAAAATTCCTTCTATCACTACATGGACATGCCTAAAATAAACCACAGCTTCCATAGGGTTGTGTCTCTCATGCAAGCGTACAATGTAAAAGATCGGGCCTTCTGGTTTGGGGTTTTTGTGTTTTTTTGTAATTAATGAACAGATGAACGTGTTTTTGGGCCATAAACAATCTGTCATTTTGTTGTAGAGCTAATAATACTATTGATTATCTCTCTTCGTACTTTTCCATTGTATCCATTGTACTATATGTTTCGATGAAATGTACTTACCTTTTGAACACATGGTACTTTATTTTGCGATTAATTAGTTTGTATAAAGAATACAAGCGTACCATAAAAATGAGCAACAAATACTTTCTAGTCTATTCGAAGATACCTTGTTAACACTAGACTTGTACTTACTTGATGAACAAAGCGTACTTCACATGTGTATTCACGAAAAACTTACCATAAACTGAAGAATTGTGTCTATTCATTCTTAATAGTCTTAAAATGAAGAGTTATGCCTTAAAATGCGATCATATGGATGCATTGGCCCCACAATAATATATAGATTGTAACAATACTATATGAATGGCAAACATATACTTTATCAGTGACCAAAGCGTACTATAGTCACGAATCACTTGTACTTCACATGTGTATCATTGTACTTACTTGATGAACAAAGCGTACCATATTTTTTGATGAATTGAATTGTACCAATTCATTGACGCTTTAATGATCAATAAGTACGGGAGATGCATAAATTATGTTTTAGATGATTATTTTAAGGTAGGTGAGCATTATTGTTGCGTTTGGAATACAAGATCCCATAAATATGTTGAATTTCATACATGATACTCATATACTATACAATATATTCATACAAGTCTACAATGCTCAAGTGTAAAACTAATATTTTCCTCAATTCTTACCATAATCGATATTGGTCGACTCCCACATTGTCTCCATTCATTCTTAATAGTCTTAAAATGAAGAGTTGTGTCTTAAAATGCGATCATATGATGCATTGGCCCCACAATAATATATAGAGTGTAACAATACTATATGAATGGCAAACATATACTTTATCAGTGAACAAAGCGTACTATAGTCACGAATCACTTGTACTTCACATGTGTATTCATTGTACTTACTTGATGAACAAAGCGTACCATATTTTTTGATGAATTGAATTGTACCAATTTCATTGACGCTTTAATGATCAATAAGTACGGGAGATGCATAAATTATGTTTTAGATTATTATTTTAAGGTAGGTGAGCATTATTGTTGCGTTTGGAATACAAGATCCCATAAATATGTTGAATTTCATACATGATACTCATATACTATACAATATATTCATACAAGTCTACAATGCTCAAGTGTAAAACTAATATTTTCCTCAATTCTTACCATAATCGATATTGATCGACTCCCACATTGTCTCCATTCATTCTTAATAGTCTTAAAATGAAGAGTTGTGTCTTAAAATGCGATCATATGATGCATTGGCCCCACAATAATATATAGAGTGTAACAATACTATATGAATGGCAAACATATACTTCATCAGTGAACAAAGCGTATTATAGTCACGAATCACTTGTACTTCACACATGTGTATTCATTGTACTTACTTGATGAACAAAGCGTACTATATTGACGAATAACCCAAACTTTACCAGCTTATATATTGTACTTATTTGGTGAATAAAGCATACTATATTCACGAATAACCCAAACTTTACCAGATTATACATTGTACTTATTTGGTGAATAAAGCGTACTATATTCACGAATAACCCGAACTTTACCAGCTTATACATTGTACTTATTTGGTGAACAAAGCGTACTATATTCACGAATAAACCGAACTTTACCAGCTTATACATTGTACTTATTTGGTGAACAAAGCGTACTATATTCACGAATAACCCGAACTTTACCAGCTTATACATTGTACTTATTTGGTGAACAAAGCGTACTATATTCACGAATAAACCGAACTTTACCAGCTTATACATTGTACTTATTTGGTGAACAAAGCGTACTATATTCACGAATAACCCTAACTTTACCAGCTTATACATTGTACTCTTATGTTCACTAATTAAACAACGGTACATAGGTTTTACATACATGTAGAATGCAAATATTACTAGATTCAACACTATTAAACTATGAACTACTCCACCTTCAGAATTGCAATTCTTCACTTCACTTTCTTGATGGACTTGGTTCATCGACGCACTTGTAGCTTCATTTTCTTCACGATTTGAGTTGGAAAAAGTTTGCCCAACTTCAAATGGTTCACACCAATGGGAGTAGCCATGGTGTGGGCAACAGTAAAATAACCTTCCGGGATTCAAAATAGTTTCTGAAACCATGATTATTGTTTTCTTCCCACAATCAAGACGCTTGCATTTCCCTTTTTTGTATTTTAACCCACTCATTTGAGTGGTGCTACTCGAAGAGTAGCATCACCACATACAAGTGTGCTCAAGATTGCATTTACGAATGCTAAATAACTTATCTGACTTGTACAATGATGCATAAACCCTCCATTTGCAGTTTTCGTCAATGCATACTGCTATGATCTTTTGTTGATCATTTTTCATGTACTTAAATGATCGATTATTAGCAATAGAATAGTTTTTCAGCATATGCCTTAAATCATCAGGATCTTTAAAAAACTGATTCTCCCCACGGATGCAATGTCTCCATGCATCAATTGAATTTCTAAGCGGATTAACCTCGATTTCCATCGATTGATCGCCGCTTTTGGTTTAAAAAAAATTAAAAAATGGATTACAATAGAGTGGAATCCAAATAACAATGTACATGAAAATATCATAACAATGCACTGGTTCCATACTATCTTCTCCATTATATAATACTAAGTTTTCCCACAAATAGTACCAAGTTTACCTATCACCCATACTATCCGAATAATGGTTACGTACTGTCTTCCCCATTATATGATACTATGTTTTCCCACCAACAGTACCAAATTTACCTATCACCCATACTATTCAGATGAAGGTTACGTACTATCTTCCCCATTATATGATACTATGTTTTCCCACCAACAGTACCAAATTTACCTATCACGCATACTATACGAATAACGATTACGTACTATAAGTACCATACGTCCATACCATATTTATATGAGCATGATACTATTACGTGCCATATTTTATGCTATGTATCACAATAATTAACAACCATAAAGAAATGCATTTCAGTAGTACAGAAAAATATGGAGACCTACCAGCCATCGGTGCGAACCCTCTTTCGTCGGAAAAAAGAGGAAATCAGAGGAGAGAAAGAGAGAAGAAATAGAGAAGAAAAAGAGCAGATAGAAATGAAGAAAGAGAAGAAAGAAAGAGAAGATGAAGAGAGAGAAAATGAAGAGAGAGAAAAGGGTGAGAGTGAAAAAGAAGAGAGAAAATATAATAAAATATATTAAATTTACATTGGGGACTGATATGCATGTCAGTCGCGTGAATAGGGACTGATTTGCTTGGAGAAACTACCTAGGGACTGATCTGTGTTTTGAGTTTAGGATTAGGGATTTATCTGTAGTTTCCCCAAAATTGAAACTGTCAAATTACGGAAAAAAAAAAAAAAAATTCTCATGTTGTCATAATTACAAACACTCTAATAAATAACTGAATTATCAAAATTTTATTAAGAATATTGAAAATTTTGATTTTTTTTATTTATTTTAATTAATTTTAATTTTAGTTTAAATACCAATATTACATATATAAATATATATATAAAATAAAATAAGACCGAATGCCACACCAAATTAACGGTTTGGTAATCAGCATGTAAGAATTTTCATTCGGTCGATTCGATCGGTTTACCTACCCAATGAACACCCTTAAGTAAATTTGAAATTGTAAGGATGAACGTGTAAGATAATACATAATAGTAATTATGCAAACAAACGAGTTTTTTTCTCGTAATCATACCTTACGTCAAGGGTGATAGTAATTTGATATAGTATATATTAGCTAGTTTATAATATATATAACTAAATTTAGTTAATTTTCATTGTGCACATAACTAAAACAGAAACATTTATCCAATCCAACCATTAAACAAACATAAACACAAAACATTTATACAAGACAAGACTCTCAAACATCCAAATTCCAGAAACCAAAAGCAACAAAATGAAAAGCCAAACAACACTTAACGAAATTCAATTATAAAAAAAAAAAAAAAAAAAACACACACAAATAGTGACACTTTATTTAGGTGAAACAAATCCGCAACAGATCTTCTTCACTCCGCCTTGGAACAATCAGTCGGCAGAAATTTGACCTCCTTGTTCACAAGATCATACCCAATGCGATAATTCATCTGATGCAAATTACCGAAAATAGCCAAATCCTGCGACGGCACCAAAGTCAAGCAAACCAAACCCTTCTCCACCTCCACAAAAGTGCTCCCCTCCGGCAACACCACATCTCCGCCGTCAAAATGCGCCACTATCGCCGGCGAACTGAACCCCCCGCCGCTCGGCAGCTCGTAGCACAAGTTAAACATCCCCTGCGAATCCGACCCCCTCTTCCCCTTTATAGCCTTCACCAAACTCGCCTCAAGCCCCTCGTAAAACTCCGAGGGCAAAAACGTCAATGTGGTACCCGAGTCGATAATTATATTTCCCTCTTCTGCCCCTGCTGACGTGGACCCCCCGTACCCGTAATCGTCGGATGCTTTTTTATTATTATATTCCAACCGTTCGTCCCCAACGCTAACGCCTTCCAGCGTGAGGTAGTAGAATGTATCCGGGTCTTTCTTAACTAACGGCGTTGAAACGACGTTAGGCCCCGAAACGACGGCGTTTTGGCCGAAGCTTATCTTGCTTGAGGAATTCGAGTCAAGGAAAGTCAAACAGTAGGAGAATTTGCCGCCGATTGATTTCTCGAGCTGGCTGATGATTGAAACCGAGCCGCCGCCTAAGCCGACTATACCCGAGCCGGTCTGGCTGAAAGTGCCGTCGTTTTGGTGGCCGCACCCAAACACGACTTTCTTAAAAGACACGCTTTCTCCAACATTATCGGAGGATCCGAAAGTTAGGGTTTCGACTGCCAGGTCACCAATGCTGTACGACCTATCGCCGTACGACACCTGGTACTGGCAGCCATTGCTGCTGCTGCACGTGCTCGAGCTTCCGACTGCGCTGCACTGCGGCGATTGGCAGGATACTTGCCGGTACGTGCTGGTTTCGGCCGGGTCGAATAGCGGCGATGTTTGGTTGTAGCACTGCGTGCATGGCTTGCACTGCGTCCACGTCAGATCGCTGCCCGTGTCGGCGATGCCGAGCTGCTCCACGGGCGGCGTGCCGATGCTGATCTTCATTAGGTACTCCCCGCCGACGGGGGTGAGCACCCCCTCGAACGAGTCGGACGACGACGCGGTTGTTGACTTCTTCTTCCTCTGATCGGAAGTCAACCTCAGGGACGATTTGCGGGTGAACGAGCGGTGGAACGACTTTCGGAGGAGCTCGAATCTCGTGTGGGAGGGCTCGTAGGTAGGCGATGCGGGTGAGTCGCGGTGGAATAAATCCACCGTGATGCCGGATTTTTTTTTCGATTCGACGAAAAGAACGAGAGCGAAGAAACAAAGTAGTACGAGAGACGAGGGTTTGTAATAAGCCATTATTGCTATGTGTTGTGTGTGTGTGTGTGTGTGTAATAGAGAGAGAAAGGTTGAGTTTTTGGGGATGAACAACAATGGTGGTTTTATAGGTAAAAAAGATTTGATTGAGTGAAGATATAGAAAGTCGTAATTAATTTGGTAAATTATTGTGTGCAATTAATTAGTTTTAATTTTAAAACGGAAAAAGATTAAATTGGAGAAACTTTTCAAATAAAGAGATGAATATGAATATATGATTATGCATAGTTCATGCAATCTTGGATTTTGATTGTATGTATATATTTACAGCATTAAATTAAATTTTGAGATTAAGTTCTATGTACGTTACACACGGAGAAAATAAATGTATTGTAATTACATTAATTATTACAATATTATTATTAATTATTATTACAATATTAATATTATGTTTATGGTAAGTATTTTACTGGTTTTTGGTAAAGCTGGCAATATTCAATTTACCGTGGAAAGGATGAGTGAAAGCAAATGGATATTACCTGGATTTTAAATTGGTGGTCTGGCTTTAGCCTGTAATTTTTTTGAAAAATATATATGCATATATACTATATAATTAATTGTTATAAATGTTAATAAATAGTGTAAAATCAAAAGAAATGCATCGAATTCGGTGGTGGATTTTTGGAAATTTTCCATGCTTAGAATAATAATCTACACTTACGACATCGAGCAATCGGGCCATGTGAATCGAATTTGGGTTGACTGAAGATCGTAGTATCATCCGGTCTCTTTAGGGTCAAACTAAAATACACTCTGACACCATTACTATAGGCTCAAGTTCGACTTATATATTTTTTTCGGATTTCGGGTTTATATCTGGGTTATTTCGAGCAATATGTAAATTATATAATTCAAAACATTGCAACCGAACGTGTTTGAAAGAAAAAAAAATCATTTACAGCCAAAATCTAGAATATTCATGAAGAGTAAAATAAAATAAAGGCCGTATTCATAAAATAAGACGAAAAAACAGAGGTTTGGTCTGGAAACACTAGGTTAAGATTCAAATTGCATGTTTATTTCTCTCACGTCTTATCTCTCTCTCAGAAACTCACGATATATATAGATGTTAAAGAAAAATGGTCTCAAAAGGATAAGAATAATGTAAGTACATCCATCGTTAATGAGAGTGTCGTCGGAAATAGAAAAGAAGAATTGAATTCAGTGGTACGACGAGAGGAGAGTGAGAAGATCAGAAAATTAGTTCAAGAGAGGCGGAGGTTAAATACTTCGAATGAGTAAACCGGATCAAAAAGTAGGAATCAACGGTCTATATAGAAAATGTAGAGGGTTCTCAAGTTCTAATCGAGACTTGGGATTTTGTGTGTTTGGATTGATTTCTTAATAGGCCGCCCCAATAGAGAAATGGGTAAATGGACTGAATTAAATAATTCATTGGTCCAAAATCCAACATTCGTTCTCCAAAAGTGTCTGACAATATAAGATGTTTACTCATTTATAAAACGTAACTATTTATCAGCTATAAAAAACAATTTATCAGATGTAAGAATTTATTTTAATTTTGGAATGTTTGAATCATAAAAATCGTAACATTTCAGCAACCATTATTAATATAAACATAACTAATATATAACATTAAAAAATAAATTAATAAAACATACTTAATAATAAAATGTGTTCTTAAGCTCGAGCCATGGCAGATCTAGGTGGAAATCAGATGAATAGCATACGAATTAGCACTTACGAAAATATTCCGGGTTTTTTTCTCCAATTCCATTGAAGGAAATTGGAAAATTGGCGATCGAAAATAGGAATGAAAAACCTCAGAAAATTCCAATTTTTTAGTCACCTAAAATATAAGTGTATGTTTCGAAAATTTAAGAAATATATTCCACTTCCGATCAAAAATATTCCGTCGGAAAATCATAATGACAAATATGTTCTTAAATCGAAAAATTTCGGATCACAATCAGCGGAAATCGGTAGTTCCACCTAGGGATGTCAAAAAAATCCGAACCGCTAGCTATCCGCGGGTATCCGCTCCGTTTAAAACCAGTTACCGAAACTATTAGGGTTTGGTAATGGTTTTGGTAAAAGAAAAGAAAACCGTCATGGTTTTGGTATGATTCTGATTTTAACTTTACAGTCATGGGTACCCAACCATTTAATATATATATATATATATATATATATTAATTCAACATAATATGAATAAAAAAAAATTGGCAAATAATTTATATCTTTTTTTTTCTTCCTCTTTTCTGAGAGTTACTTAAACGTTATCGGACACAAAGTTATTTTTATTAACACAATTAAAATGGTAAATGGGTACGCGTGAGTATCCGGATATTCGTGGTAATGGTTATGGTATTTTCATTAACTTTTTAAATGGATTTGATATGGACATGGTTTGAGCTATAATAAATGGTAATGATTATGGTATTGCACTTTTTCGAGGGTACCCGCTCCGCGATCGTCCCTAGACTTCCACCTGTATAACATCTACAAAATCGATTACAATATTGCTGCTGCCTTAGAGTAGTTTGACCATAAAATTTTCTAGAATTTCACACACAAGGGGCACAAAAATCCATAAATTTGCTCCCAGATCATCATAAGACAAATGTTAAATAACAAACAAGAATCATAAACACTCTGCAAAAGTCGAGTTTCAGGATTGAACATTTGTTTTCTTTTTTCTCGAGTTCGTCGTACGTTCACCGTTGTGCTCAAAAGATGTAAATTTTCAAATAACAGTAACAAGAAACACGATCAACATTAAATTTCACTTCAACATCAATGTATTCGAACGAATTGGAATGTCGCATACATCGATTTTTTTCCAAACAACGAACACCGCAGAAACACACGTTTTACTCGATTTTTTTTTTTGTTCGACCAATTTCATATATGTAGAAAGATAACACTTACTCTATACTATATATATATCTTCTGTATGTATAAACTATAACAAGATTTACGGAAACTTAGCATTTTCATCATCACTTAGCTCATCTTCAATGCTTGAAACATCCATTCTGGAAGAATATTGCTTAGCCCACTTCACAATTTTCTCAGCTTCCCTGCAAATTTTTTCTTCCTCCGCGATAGCTTTCTTGATCAGCTTCCTCTGATTATAACTCATTGAATTATCACTCAAATCGGATAATAAATCATCATTATCTTGCTTCTTCCCCCAATTAATCCCCAAATCCAAACCCCTGTTTTCTTTATTCTTTCTTGCCGATTTTTTAGGAGAACACAGAAAACAGCCGCTCTTCGCCGGCGGCGAAACGGACCTACTGGAGAAACCCTCAAAGGAAGAAGACGACGAAGAAAATGATTTGGTACCCTTCTCCTCCATTTTCACTCGTGGGTTCTTCTTCTTCAGGGGCGAGAAGCTCTCGCTGCGAGATAAGCAGTTTTTCTCTTCTGGGACTTTCTTCAAACACTTTGGATGCACCTCTTCGCCTTTGTCCTCCGCGGATTTTTCTTCGCCGGAATCTGATTTCTTCGGTTCGTTCTTCTTCAATTCCGATGGATTTGAAAAACTGAAGCTCTTTGTTGCTAAAGGAGCGTGCTTCGCCGCCGGTGACGGCAGAGATTTGAGGCGCTGGAAGCGGGTTTCGAGGTGAGAAGGGAGATCGGTCTTGGTGAAACCGGCGCAGTTGATCGCGGCCACCTGCTCGAGAACTGTGGAATCCATGGCCTGAGATAGGAGCTCCTCCACCGCCTTCTCGCCGTCGCTGTCGTCGGAGAAGAAATCGTCCATTTTTAGTGAGAGTGAAATGATCAGACCGAATTGTAGCAAACGAGGTTTTTTCTTTTGCCCTTTTTTCAAGAAAGTTTTTTCTGCAGAGGTTTCTTCTATGGGAGTCTCAACGGCTAACTCATGAATTTGGCATTTAGTGGTCAAAATGTCAAAATGTGTGGTGACGTTCTTTTTTTTCTTACATGGGCCCCACTTCTGATTGCGCTCCAGCTCCGCCCATTATTTGTTGCTATTTGGTCCTTGGATATTATTTATATTAGCAATTTGACCCCTTGTTTATATTAGCAAAATGGTGCAATATGGCCCGTGAAAAGAATTTGTTTCAATAAATGTGTGACTTTTTTTTTTTTTTGAGATGAATAAATGTGTGACTTTGTGTATCAATAAATTACTATATATACTTAATAACGTTGTAACATATTTGACTAAACTTATTTTAAATAACTGATAAGTTCTTATGTTTTATAAGTTGTTTTAAGAGTTGATAAGCTATTATATCTTATTTTTTCAAATTAATTTTAAAGTGTTTGAATAATGAGCTATTTTTACTAATTGTAAGATTTTAAATAAAAATATAGTTTATAGATATTTTTTAAAAAATATCTTATTTGCTCTCGAACAACTTATTTTTTCGACTTACTATGATATTTCTAAAAACAAATTACCAAAACACTTTGGAGCTTATAAGTTCTTCTAACTGCTTATAAGATTAAGCCAAACACCCTCCTAGTTAGTATATTCCACCAGGTATATATCATGAGATAATTGATTTAGCATTTAGGGATGGTAGCAATAAATTCAATATCTTCCCTAAATATTACATTTTCTTCTTATTCCTTTTCTATAGATAGGCTGAATTTACAGTATTTTTAATGCTCATAGATTTTTTGTACACAAATTGGAAAACAATATTTATTAAGTCAGCAGTAAATAAAAAATATATATATATTTTTTCTTGAAATAAATAAATAATATATATACACAAATGAATAGAAAATATAAATATAAATAATTATAAAAGAAAAATAGGAGCAATAAATAAATAGAGATGTAACAGCTGCTACTATCATATATACAAGTATTTAATGAGGTGAAAATCATATTAATTACCAAATCTCAACTCCATTGTGCAGGATACATTCCAGATATCCACACCAAAATTCACTCATAAATTCCCCCCAAAAAAAAATTTATATTAGTAATTTTATTTTATTTATTTTTAATTTATTGATTTATTCTTGTGAATGGATAATCAGTTTCCATCATCTCCAAAGCCAAAATGTTACCCTTGGAAATCATCCAAGAAACAAGAATTCGATCAAATTAATGGTAAAACGATAAATTCCGGAAAGAATCTATATTACGGAGATTACGGAATGGAGGATAATATTTACGGCGAAAACGGGATTTTCTCGATGAAAGAACAGAAGAAATTTCTCAAAGAAGCCATTAAAGAACAAGAGAAAGCCAATCATAAGATGGCAAAGAGAAAAGGATCTGCAGGGAAGTGAAAAGTATTAAATTTTTTTTTTTTGATAAATATTATTTTGATGTTTTTTTTTTATTATTTAATGTGATTTAGTTCATTAATATTTCATTTTCATTTTTGTATCACTATTTGTTTTTTCAGGCAAATTATGTTGTGATTTTATTTTGTAAAAATATTTTTTTTATGGCTAGCTTGGATTATATCACTCTATTCATAATTCTTTTCGTTTTTCTCTCGTTTATTTATGGTTATTATTTTGTTCCTCTGTTTTTGTTCGGAAAAAAATTCGGGTGCGGTGGCCCCGAATCCCTGTAATTTTTTTGTTAATCATCGGTCCCCTATAAAATGTTCCTGTTACCGCCCTTGACCCAATATCGATGAAATTCTCAATATTATGTCATACCTAGGGTTACTTGTGTATTTTTTTAGTATCTAATGCTAAAAAATAGATTTAAAGAGAATAATTATTTCATATTTAATAATTTTAACATATGACTATCACCTTAAGGCAACATTTTTGTTTTTCCATGTAGGCACATGGTTTTTTTATTTTATTTTTTTATAAATGGTGATTTTATTTAAAAAAATGTATATATAATATTTAGGGTTAAATACAAAAACACCCTTGTACTATGAATTTTGTATCATATACCCCCTGTATTTCAAAGTAAATACAAAAAACCCCCTCACATTATGACAAAAATACCCCTACTCAAGCATATATATATATATATATATATATATATATATATATTGAGTTATTTTCCAATTAAACCCTTTTCAGTTAATTTTACGTGGAAAATTTTTGTATTTATATTTTTTTTTCTCCAAAACATCTAATTGCGTTGATTCTTTTAATTTTCTAAATAAAACATTTTATTTTTGTCATTTTGAGTTTCTTCATTTTTTTTTTCTTAAATGTCTTCCGGTAGTTCAAACATCCTAAGATGATAAACTTCTTTACAATCCTATTATTGTTGAGAATTTGAAATATCGGAAGACATTTAGGAAAAAAATTAAAATATCAAAAATTTCCAAGTAAAATTTACCAAAAATGTTAAAAAAATATAGTGAAAAATGGCTCAAACAAACCCTTATATTCATAGGCTTAGCAGGGGTATTTTCGTCATATTTTGGAAAAAATATAACATCAGAGGGGGTTTTTGTATTTATGTGTAGTGCAGGGGATTATATGATACAAAGTCCATAGTACAGGTTGTTTTTGTATTTAGCCCTAATATTTATATCAGTGTTTTTTCAAGTCCAAATGAAAACTGAAAATTGATTATGGGCCTAAACAAATTCCTACCCAACAAGTAATTTCTAAGTTTCGGCCCATAAGTATACTTGCAAATTGCAATATCTCCAAAATAAATTAAAAAAAAAAAGAAAAAAAAAAAGACTGACAGAAGAAAAAAGTCTTCTTCACGAATTCTAAATATAATTATTGCAATTAAATATTACATTATAAATATAAACATATAAATCTATTTACCGACTTCTTCTGGCTTCACGGATTATATAGTGTGTGTGTATTAAAAATAAATAAAAAATTAAAAAAAAAATAGAAAAAGTCAAAAGAGAACCACATGGTGCATGGGCCATCAAAAAATGCCAAAAAACCAGCGGAAACAGTGAGCATGTAATTGGTCAAAATTGCACATTCAAACGTGTCTGCTTTTGCCCGACGACTCTAAATCGTTGACTTTTTACTAATTTCAATTTCTCAATTTTTCATTTTTAAGTGTGAGATGTGGAGTACTACCTAATTAATTGTACCACACACTAAACTTGTAATTTGACTATATGAGTAATTTTGCATTAACTTCAACCTAATATTACTTATTATTTTGTTATTAACTATTAGGAGTTTGGACCAATCTAATACTACTATGCTTACATCATCCAAGTAACAGTTGAAAAATATCATTTTCTTCCTCTAGATTTTCAAGTTAGAGCAAATCCAACTCTCTTTTAAAATTTTTATTGTAAACAATAAACAGTGTTTTAACATACTATTTTTTCCTGACGTACTCCAATTGTGGTTATTTTTATTTTAACATATCACTTTCAAACGACTGCATATAACATAACTGTTCGAGTTGCTCTTCGTAGTAAAATAATTAACTCGACTTTCCATTTTCCAAAAAAATAAAATAAAAAATCTAAACTAAAATGTTTCAAGATGGGATCTATCAAATTAGGACCATAGTCACAACTGCATCTACACACAAGTTTTTCTTTATACAAGACAAATTTAATTAAATTAATTTTTATTTAATTTTTTCTTAATAGGAGTCAAATATTGTGTGATTTGCTTAAGGAATTCACGTGTTTTATTTCCCCCTCACACATAATATGGAGCGTGAGAAATACTCAAAAGCTCCAAAAGAAAATCACTTTGCTTCAATTATTAGCTTTTTGCCTAACTTCAACTTTAAACCAAAAATCACTTTTCCCCATTCCCCTCAAACAACTTCTTCTTCTTCTTCTTCTGTAATCAAATCCATTCATGAAAGAGTTCAATTGAGCTCCAGAAATTCCAATCTCAGGCGGCCAATAACAGCAAGTGCAGGAAACCCTTAATCAACATCCACTCCAATCTCGCAATCACTTTATTCTTCATCGTAGTGTTCACAGTTCACAGTTCCAGCTCTCCTCCTTCTACATACTCACTCCTGCTCAAATCTCTCCGCCGCCGCTAACGCCGCCGCCGCATGGTCCGGCGACCTCCGCTCCGCCGAATTCTCATGGAACAAGCTCAAATTCTCCGACGAGAAACCCCAAACACCTCTCAAAATCGCCGTCTTCACCCGCAAGTGGCCCACCGGCGGCGTCCCCGGCGGCATGGAGCGCCACGCCCAAACCCTACACACCGCCCTAGCCAGCCGCGGCCATGAAATCCACGTCTTCACATCCCCTCCCGCCGCCGATTCATCACCGGAAACCTCCACCCCTTCCTCCTCCTCCCCGATCCTGCACCACCACGAAGGGGAACCGGAAAAATGGCGGTACAACAAGGCGTGGGAGCAATTCCAGGCGGAGGAGAGCCGCGGCGGCGCCGCCCCCTTCGACGTCATCCATTCGGAGAGCGTCGCCCTCCCCTTCTGGCTCGCCAGGGGAGTCAAAAACGTCGCCGTTTCGTGGCACGGAATTGCCCTAGAAAGCGTACAATCCAGCATCTACCAGGATTTGACCCGAAAACCCGACGAACCGATTTCGCCGGCCTTCAACCAGAGCCTCCAATCCGTCATCCCAAAAGTCCTGAACGAAATAAGATTCTTCTCGCACTACCAACACCACATCGCCATTAGCGACAGCTGCGGAGAAATGCTCCGAGACGTCTACCAAATCCCATCCAAGCGCGTCCACGTCATCGTCAACGGAGTCAACCAACACGACTTCGTACAGGACACCTCACTCGGCCGGAGATTCCGATCCCGAATTGGAATCCCCGATAACGCAACCCTAGTTCTCGGGATCGCCGGCCGATTAGTCAAGGACAAAGGCCACCCGTTGCTCTACGAAGCCTTCTCGAAGCTCAAAACCAACAATCCCAACACCTACTTAATCGTCGCGGGATCCGGTCCGTGGATGAACCGGTACAAAGAGATGGGGAAACAAGTAATCGTACTTGGTTCGATGAATCCGTCGCAACTGCAGGGCTTCTACAATGCGATCGATATATTCGTGAACCCGACGCTCAGGCCGCAAGGTCTGGATCTTACGTTGATGGAGGCGATGATGAGTGGGAAACCGATTATGGCGTCGAGGTTTCCGAGTATTAAGGGGACGATTTTGGTGGACGATGAATTCGGGTTTATGTTTGCGCCGAATGTGGAATCTTTATACGAGGCTTTGGAGAGGGTGGTGGCGGAAGGGGCGGGGAGATTGGCGGAGAGAGGGAAGGCGTGTAAGGAGTACGCGGTGGGTATGTTTACGGCGAGGAAGATGGCGTTGGCTTATGAGAGGTTGTTTCTTTGTATCAAGAATCAAACTTTTTGTATGTACCCTTAGAAAACACACTGATATTTCTTTTCTTCTTCTTCTTGGCCTTTTTTTTTTCTTTTTTTTTTTGTTTATTTATTAGTAAAAAGAATGATACTATTTGTGAATTGATTCGAAGATGGAAATGTTAATCTTGAAATATATACGTTTAAGAGGTGTAGATTTGACTGTGTTTCCTTAGAGCTCGTTTGATTAAACTTATTAAACAGCTGATAAGTTGTTACGTCTGATAAGTTGTTTTAAGAGCTGATAATCAAAATTTTCGTTTTAATCCACCATTCAACCTAATTTCTAGAATGCTCTCGTTCACGTGACATCATTTTTCAGACATTGATTATTAAGTAAACTGTCGAAATTCAAACTTCCTAATTCGCGTGAAAGGAGAAATGCCACTAAAGAGGCAAAAATCTCGTTATCGACTTCCAAAATATCGGTCAATGATGAAAACGATACGAGTACATTACGGAAGATCAATAGAAATAATTGCAAAAAATACGAAAATACTAAAATTCGGTTGTGCAAGATGTATAATCATCATCAAAACTACTAAATAAGAATAAAAAAAAAACTAGTGCAGAATAAGATATTTTTCTCATTGATATATATATACTGTATATTCTATATTCAATATGGAACTACTATAATTGAATATTATGTACACATTGCCAAACACGGAGTAATAATGTAATCCGATCACAGTTCCGCTAATACGATCCAATGGAGGACGATCTTCGAGTCTGTTCGAATCTCTCGTAAGCAAACCTCGTTCGCAAATACAACACCACACTCGAAATCAACCCCAAAAGAGAGATACATCCCCACCAAACAAACGTATAGAAATAGCACTTAATCCCCATGCACACAACCGAATCAGCCATTAGCCCTAGACCGGAAACTGCACTCCAGTCGTAAACCGTTGCAGCTAAAAATCCATAAACGAGCGATCCGATGGGAATATTTGTGATTAGAATGTTGTGGTTGACACCAACACTTTCTGGTCCGAAAAGCTCGGAAGTTATCGAAACTGCAGCTGCGAATATGAAACCGGAGCTTAGCCCAATTAGGGCTGTGCCTGCTTCTAATGCAAAGGGGTCGCCCCCTAATGCACCGAGTAGAAAGAAGGCGATTGGTGTCGGGAGAAGAGCTATGGCTAGCCATCCGGTTCTTGCAAAGTAGACCTTCCTGCAAAATTTATTTATAAATTTAGGCCTCATTTGATTTGTCGTAGATTTGCTGAGATAATATAGTTAGGCTCTGTTTGGATCAAGGAAAATGCCAAGTAAGAAAAAAATGAAAGGCTAACTAAACACAAAATAAGATCCAATTATTTAATCAATCATTGAATATCAACCCAACCAAATGAGTTTAATCAAACAAGCATATATATAAGCAATAAACGAACTAGAATGCGTATGCTTACGTTCGAACGAAATCTGGAGCAGCAGAAAGCAGGCGGCCGAAAAAGGAGAACGACGAATAAATTGTGATAAGCTTCGAAGTCATCATACTATGCCCAAGCGACTGCGCAATCTGGCCAAGATTATTACTATAAACAAGACCGATAGTACCCCCGCAAAAGTACGCAATATAGTACAGCCAAAAATCCAACCTCCGAACGAGCATTCGAGCACTATGCTCTTGCCCAAGCATCGCCAGCTGGTCTTTCTCAATCAAAGCCTCACACAAAAAACCGTCACCACCTATATTATCGTCTTCAGACTTAATATTATCAGAGTAATTTAGGGTTACTCCATTTGCTACGCTATTATGACGACTCAAAAGCTCTTTATGCAGTTCCAAATCATCAGCATCAACGAGAATAAATCCCGACCCATGAAGAGTGAAGCTCGAATAAATGTTTTGCTTAAACCAATTCCGAGCGTACACAACACCAGGTATGCCCAATGGTAGAATCAAAAGAAAAATGGCACCAGAGAATAAATATCCAGCCTTTAAAGAATCCGAAGGGTGGAGGAATAAAAGATACAGGCCCGTGATTATGGCTAACGTGTTTAGCTTAAGGAACGAGAATTGATCGCGCTTAGTGATGTCGGTGGCTAGCGGATCGAGCGGGGGTTGGCGGAGGATTGGGATTAGTGCGGCTAATGACGTGAAGAGAGGGATTAGTGCGTTGAGGAGGAGATAGAGGGCCGGCGATGAAGGGTTTAGGGAGTTCACAGCAAGGTTGTATAGGGCTGCGCTTAGGCCGTTAAAACTCACTGTGAGGGCAAGAGCGAGTGGTCTGTTTGATGGGAAGTTTTTTATGCAGAGGACAAAGCAGACTGTGTTGAACCAACAGATGCTGCATCCGGATAATAAGCATAGTAAGAATACCTGCATGAGAAAAAGGTTTGGTATATAATGAAGTGATCATAACTAAATCAGAAATGAATTGTTCAATAGAGAAAAGCTAGCATTTTGATTCACTGTCAAGCAACTCAATAATTCTTTTTTTATTATTATAAATATATATATGGGGTAAATTACGGACACCCTGAGTTAATGTCAAATTATAAAAACCCCTTTTATTTGGGTAATTACAATCACCCCTCAACTATGAATTTTCTTACACTTCAATCCTTATGGTGTCAAATTCAACATAATCTTCTAGATTTCGTGCAATGTTCTCTAGTTTGTAGTCGTTTTGGGCACAAATGAAGTTTCCGATGCAGTCACAATCTGATGTTTACAAACCAAGAGACACATCTTATGATAATTGTGTTTCAAAATATAGAGTTCGAATGGGATAAAACGGGTACAAACTAGAGAATATTCCACATAATTTAGAAGATTTCATTAAATTTGACACGGCAATGATGGACGTGTAAGAAGACTCATAGTTGAGTGCAGGGGCGGACCCAGGAGGGGGCTGAAATATCGGGCTAATTTAAGAGAAGAATTTTGTTTTTTGTTTTTATGGACTAAATTGTACAAAATAAAAAATTTGGAGGGTGAAAGTGCAATAACTAATACATAAATAACAATAAAAAAAACTGCTTAAAAAAATTCTTTGGTGGGGGGTAACCCAGCCATATGCATGGTTATGCCCCTGGTTGAGTGGTGGTTTTAATTACCCCTGAGAGTTTTTTTTTTTAACGTAATTTGACCTTACCTCGTGAGTTGATCGTAATTTACCCTAAATACTCACCTTTTTATGTTACAAAGTCAAAATTGTCACACTCAATGGTGACAACAAAATAATTGACAAGCAAATGCAATGTTAATTGGAGGCCATATATTATATATTAATAAATTTTATTCCAGCAAAAATATGTGTGAACTGATGAGCCAACCTCCAATGAGACTTTAGCTAACTGGTTGGTGGCCGGGTTGGTTAGATTATTTGAGGTACATGTATTTGCATATATATTTATTTTCTAATTTTTTTTTTCAAAATTAATACACTTTTAAATATGACAAGAAGATTTAAAAAAAAATTAATCCAGATTCAACGTGGTGTATAGAGTCATACATATTTTTACACATATATGCATGTATGTATGTATATGTTATGATTGTGTATAAATAAATTTTATTGGAGATTTCTCCACCAAGAATCAAATAAAATTACATTCAGTATTCGACAGTTGGAAAAAGATGGTAGTGATATTTGACGGTTAGGTTCTAACAAAACCAAAAGTGGGCTCGATTTTGTCGCTGTCACATGTTGTAGTAAGGCCCACTTATAGGCCCATAATCTTCTCCACTCTTAACTAATAGAATACTAGGGTAAATTACAAAACCCTCCTTGAACTTAAGCTAAATAACAAAAAACACCCCATCTATTCGTAATAACCAAAATCTCTCTATGATTAACTGTTGATCGAGTGTTTTTTGCAGAAAATGTGTACAGTCTATTATAGACCCTGTTAAATAGGTGAGAAATAAAAGAAAGTATATGAAATTGTGTAAAGTCTATTTCCTCGAAGAAAAAAACGGAAACAAAACTCAGGGTTTTTTTGGTAATTACGATGGGTGAGGGTATTTTTTGTTATTTAGCCTAAGTTAAGGAGGTTTTCATAATTTATCCAAAATAACATAATGTACTTTTTTTATATAAACATAAATTACATTAAGGACAAAATTACCAATACATTCTTGAGATAAGATTAAATTACGAAAAAAACTCCTATTGCAATTACCTATCAATTATGTCCTGTCTTACGAAAAAAAATTTCTCATTGAGTAGGTAAATTTGTCACGTAAAAATGGATATGCAAGACAATACATAGTTAAAAAGTTAACTTAATTATACAAACACGATGGGTATTTTCGTAATTTGACTTTATCTCAGAGGGTGACGGGTGACCGTAATTTGCCGTGTGAAGCAAAAACTAATTAGGAGATTAGGCAAAACGAAGTCCAAATGCACACGTAATATATGAACAAAATCAATTAAACCACATCCCCAATTTAATGGAAAAATATAAAATTAGGAGAGAAATTCAAAAAAAGGCATTGGTCATGACTCATGCAACAAACCGAAACCACCGGGAAAAGTGACGTAAGAGAGAGAAAAAAACTAACCCCAAAATACGGCAGCGAAATCACGTTTCTGATCACGAGCCATTGGGCGCCGTACCCAATCAACCCCATACCCGCCGCCGTGAACATCACCGCCCACAGCGGCAGCCACATAAGCGCCAGCCCCGACGACCAACCCACCGCCTTGCCGAGATCCGACGCGGTGGCGAGGTAATTGAGCTGCACCTGAGACACGCCGAGGACCGCCTTCATCTCCGACGAGTACGCCGAGAAATCGAAATTCGTCCCCGTGAACGCCTGAATCCAAATCGTCGCCACCAGAATCATCCACTTTCGCGATTGCCCCGCCATATGGACTGCCGGAAAACGCTGTACTGTACGGCGGAGATTCGGTTGTACGGTGGTTTTTTTTTTTTATTAGGTGTTTGATTTTTGCGATTTTTGGTTGGTGAATACGGATTTTACTTACGTGGACGCTTTTATATACGTTCAATTCTGTTTTTCCCCTTTTTAATTAATGTTTTATTCTTTTCTTTTGGGTGCAAACACAATTCTTTTTATTTGGATTACAAAAATATTGGATTTTCGGTTGGGCATAAATAACGTGGTTGTAACAAAGAGCTTAATTTTATTTTGCACCCTTGAAACTAGTATTTTGGCACTTTCCACCCCTAAAAATTATTAATTAACATTTTTTTTGCTTGCAAGCACAATTCTTTTATTTGGAGTTAAAAATGAATTTGAATAACGATTTTTCAAATATTTTTTGTTATTTCTCTAATTATTTACATGATCTATGGATCAATTATAAATTGAAAGTTAAATTGATAGTTGATAATCGTATTTATTTTGAACATACTTGTATAAAAATATATAAAAAGAATTTATGTATAAATACAATCTTATATATATATGTTAGCAAATCTATGGATCTATACTTTTAATATTTACGCATTTCTCCAAGTTCCCGTTTCCCCATTTTTAGGATATGACGTTTCCCGTATCTGTTTTTCTGTTTACCCGTATCGTCGTTTCTGTATCCGTACTATATATGAATTGAATGTTTAACTATTTGGCATCGTAAATCTATTATAATTTGAAAAATGTACAATTTTTATTCCCGTTTCACAATTTTGTTAATTAAATCAATTGCAATCAACTAATTAAAATCAATTGAATGCAACAAGTGGAATCAATTGATTTGTTATGCAAATTTGACAAAATATAGTTAAAGATAAATAAATAGATGGACTTAGCTCAACAATAAACATCTGTACATATGAACTTTAAATGCAGCCAAGAGTTGGATGAGAAAATATTGTTTATACCAATAATTGTTTAAAAATACTCCTACTACATTTGGAAATTATATATTTAACAAAAAAGAAAAATGTATTTAGACTATATACGTTTCCATATACATGATTCTCACCTGCAATTGCAACAAATTGGGAGGTTATACTACACTTTATAAGAAGTCAATAATTTTTTATTTATTTAGAATTTGTAAGATGTCAAATCAATTTGAAGAAAATGTCAAAGAATAGGTTAGTTATTATTATTTTTAATTTATTGAGATAAAAATTTAAAATTAAGGGCCCGTTTAGCTAAACATTTTCATATCTTTCAAGAAAACAAAACATGGTTATTTTGCAAAAATGAATTCATCATGTTCTTCTTTTCCTTGTTAGAAATTTATGTGAAAAATTAGGATTTTGTTAAACGTTTCGGTATTTATTTTTGGGTTAACTGCAAAAAATCCCCTAAACTTTGGACGTTTTTGCGCTTTACCCCCTGAACGGAAAAAAGTTGCACCGACATACCTGAACTCTATTTTTCTTAGCACCGACTTCCAAAATATCCATTTTCAGCCAAAATTGACCGGAATTCAAATCACGTGCAAGGCACGTGAATATTGTTGGGGTAGATTAGTCTTTTCCTTTTACACTCATTTTCTTCATTTTTTTAATAAATATAAATAAATCTTAAAAAAAAAAAAAAAAAAAAAGTCTTGTTCCAGTCACGGGCATCTTCCCCGACCAAACTTATCCCGTCACCACCAGCCCAACCAAACTACTCTTCATCCATTTTAGCCCTCAACCGCCGCCTGCCGCATCTGCTTCACCTCCCTCCGCCGCCTCTGCTTCGCCGCCCTCCTCTTGCCCAACTCTACTCCGCTGCCTGCCGCCTCTGCTTCACCGCCCATCGGAAATTAAGGACTATAACTCGAAAGTACATCACACCGAAACACCAAATTAATCAATCTTTCTCTCTTCCGAAAAAAACAACAAATTCAGGACTGGATTGTTGATTAAGCTTTGATTCCAAAAACTCAAATTTTATTAAAAAATAAAAACACAAATGGGTTGCTTCCACCACTGCAATTCGCCGCCACCGCCACCCGTTGATTGATTGCGGCAAAGAAATAACCACCAGCCGGCGGTCAAATTTTGAGACCGGAGCCCCGACGAGAAACCCCTATTTCTTTGCCTTGTGATGGTGAAGGGGCGGATTGAATAGTAGAGTTTTCGAAATCGAACTAGCAGATATGGGGGGATGAATTGAAATTGGTTCGGTGGTGGTGGTGGTGGTGCGGCGGATCAGAGGTTGTGGTGGTTGGTTTTTGATTTGTGAGAGGTTATGGTTGCCTGGTTTGTGTTTGGTGGTGTGTCTGATATGTGGTGGTGGACGAAGAAGATGAATGTGCAATGTTCTTTTTTTTTTTTTTTTTTCTTTTCTTATTTATTTCATTTTTTTTTTTCATTTATTTATATTTATTAAAAAAAAAAAGAAGAAAAGGGGTGTAAAAGGAAAAGACTAATCTACCCCAATTATATTCACGTGTAAGGCACGTGATTTAAATTCCGGTCAATTTTGGCCAAAAATAGATATTTTGCAAGTCGGTGCTCAGAAAAATGGAGTTCAGGTATGTCGGTGCAACTTTTTTCCGTTCAGGGGTAAAGCGCAAAAACGTCCAAAGTTTAGGGGATTTTTTGCAGTTAACCCTTTATTTTTTGTATGTTAAAAGTTGGGGAAACTACAGATAAATCCCTAATCCAAAACTCAACTCACAGATCAGTCCCTAGCTAGTTTCCCCAAGCAATTCAGTCCCTATTCACGCGTCTGACATGCAGATCAGTCCCTAATGTGAATTTTGAATATTTTATTAGAGCTAATTGCAAATACCACCCCTGTGTTATCTCTAATTGTCAAATACCCCCCTGTGAAAAAAAAACTCACCAACACCCCCTTGTGTTAACAAAGTCAGAGCATCGAGACCCCTGGAGGCAAATCGTGTCACTCACTCGCGGATTGTGCGATTTTTATCAGTATTTTTAGGGTGAAATGTCATAAATACCCCTTTATAAAATAAAAAATAACCTTATTGGTTAAATTATGAATAACATAAATTTATAGGACCAAATTGTAATTTTCAGAATTCAAAGTAATAATGTAAAAAATATTATATTTCATTAAGAAAAAAAAAAATCATTGTCTTCTTCCCGTTCCCCACCCCAAACCCCAAACCCAAACCCAATAGGAGTACAATACCACCACCTCATCTTCTACAATCCGAGGGCAAATCCAGGCCCAATTAACAATAATGCCTTAATCTACAAACATCCCCAAAACGATTTTTCTTCCAAGGGCGAAACATTTTTGAAGAACCGGAGGTGGCTAGTGTCCCCAAAAAATTGGCCAATTCTTTTATCTCAAAATTTAACGTTCCCCAAGGCCTC